CGATCTACTGGTGTGACTGCTTCACCTCCGGATTCTCCTTCAGGTGCCGTTAATCAAGCTTCTGAAGCTTCGCGAGGAAGGATCTCACTAGAATCTTCAGATCCGCATCTCTCTCCGTTTTTTATGCATAGTGCTGATCATCCAGGTTTAAACATCATCTCTCATCGTTTAGAAGAAACGAACTATGGTGACTGGAGTGTTGCTATGCGTACCTCTCTTGATGCTAAAAACAAACTTGGTTTTGTTGATGGAACTTTAACTCGTCCCCTTGAATCGGATGTTAATTTTCGTCTCTGGTCTAGATGCAACAGCATGGTCAAATCATGGCTGTTAAACTCGGTTTCTCCGCAGATCTATAGGAGTATTTTGCGTATGAATGATGCTTCTGAGATATGGCGTGATTTGTTTAGTCGATTCAACATGACTAACCTTCCACGTACATATAATCTCACTCAGGAGATACAAGATCTGCGTCAAGGTACTCTGTCTCTCTCTGCTTACTATACTCGTTTGAAAACTCTTTGGGATCAACTAGATAGTGCTGAAGAACTGGATGAACCCTGTGTTTGTGGTAAGGCTGCTAGAATTCAACAAAAAGCTGAAAGAGCTAAGATAGTGAAACTCCTTGCTGGGTTAAATGAGTCTTATGCTATTATCAGACGTCAGATTATTGCTCAGAAAGTTCTTCCCACATTGCCAGAAGTTTATAACATCTTGGATCAGGATAATAGTCAACAAGGTTTCTCAGATGTTATTGCTCCTTCTGCGGCTTTTCAGGTTTCAGAGATGCATTCTTCTCCTGCAACACCTCCTGCTGTCATGTATGTGCAGAATGGCCCAAACAAAGGTCGTCCCATCTGCTCATTCTGCAACAGAGTGGGTCATATTGCAGACAGGTGCTACAAGAAACACGGATTTCCATTTGGATTCACTCCCAAAAGTAAGTTTTCAGATAAAGTTCAGAAACCACAACCAGTTACTGCTCAGGTTTCCCTGTCTCCTCCAGGTCCTGACAAAATTTCTGGTCAACTTGAAACGGTCATTGGTAGTCTTTCCTCTGATCAACTTCAGAATGTCATTGCTATGATCAGTACTCAACTTCAGAATCAGTCTTTCTCCAATCAGTCTGCAAGCTCCTCTGGTTCAATGGAAGCTAGTACTTCTCAGGCTCCTACAGGTTCCACTAATATCTCCTTTTCTCCCTCAACATATTGTTTTGTTGGAATATTAGCAGTCTCTCAGCATACTTTGTCTACTGATACATGGGTGATTGACTCTGGTGCAACCCATCATGTATCTTTTGACAGAAATATCTTTCTTAGTCTTGATACTTCTGTTGAAAGCTATGTGAATTTGCCAACAGGACCTCTTGTTAAGATCAGTGGAGTAGGGATGATTCAGTTGAACAAGGACATATTACTAAAGAATGTCTTGTTTATTCCTGAATTTCGCCTAAGTCTTATCAGTATCAGCTCTTTGACAAGTGATCTCGGTTCTAGAGTGATATTTGATCCTACTTGTTGTGAAATACAGGATCCTACCAGGGAGTTGACAATTGGAAAAGGTAGAAGGATTGGAAATCTCTATGTGCTGGATACTAAGGCTTCATCAGTTTCAATCAATGCGGTGGTGGACATTGGTATGTGGCACAAGAGACTTGGGCATCTCTCTTACTCAAGACTGGATGTTCTTTCTGAAGATTTGGGAACTAGTAAACATAAGAATAAGGATAGTGCTTACTGTCATGTATGTCACTTAGCCAAACAGAGGAAGTTGTCTTTTCCTTCTGCCAATCACCTCTGTAATACGACTTTTGAGCTGTTACACATAGATATTTGTGGACCCTTTTCAGTGGAAACAGTTGATGGTTTTAAATATTTTTTGACGATAGTTGATGATCACTCCAGAGCAACGTGGGTTTACTTACTCAGACATAAGAATGAAGTACTCACTGTTTTCCCTGCTTTCATCACTCAAGTTGAAAATCAGTATAACACAAGAGTTAAATCAGTAAGGTCTGACAATGCAAAGGAATTGAGTTTTACAGCATTCTACAAAGAGAAAGGGATCATACCTTATCACTCCTGCCCTGAAACACCAGAACAGAACTCAGTGGTAGAGAGGAAACATCAGCACATCCTCAATGTGGCAAGGGCATTAATGTTTCAGTCAAACATGTCTTTACCATACTGGGGAGACTGCATCCTCACTGCAGTGTTTCTCATCAACAGGACTCCTTCTCAATTGCTTGCTAATAAAACTCCTTTTGAATTGCTTACAGGTCAGAAACCTGATTATTCTCAAATAAGAACATTCGGGTGTCTCTGCTATAGCTCTACTTCTCCTAAGCAACGACACAAGTTCCAACCAAGATCAAGAGCCTGCATTTTTCTTGGTTATCCGGCTGGTTTCAAAGGGTATAAGTTGCTGGATATGGAGAGCAACATGATTTTCATATCAAGGAATGTTGTTTTTCATGAAGCTGTCTTTCCATTGGTGAGTTCTCAGACTTCTTCTGCTACTGCTACTGATGTCTTCACACCAATGAGTTCTTTGCCTTCAGGTAATTTCATTCCTTCTTATCTTCCATCAACACAAATTTCTCCATCACCAAATATTTCTCCATCACTGCCTGTTTCAACTCATAGGCCTAAGAAACCACCTTCACATCTTAGTGATTATCATTGTTATTCTCTTAACAATGAAATCAATCACCCCATTTCATCCTCTCTTTCCTACTCACAAATTTCTCCATCATATATGTTATACATTAATAACATCTCGAAAATTCCAATCCCTCAAACATATTCTGAGGCAAAGAATTCTAAAGAATGGTGTGGAGCTATAGACAAGGAAATTGATGCAATGGAGACTACTAATACATGGGAAATCACAAGTTTACCTCCTGGTAAGAAAGCAGTTGGCTGTAAATGGGTATTCACTTTGAAATTTCTCTCTGATGGTAGTCTTGAAAGATACAAAGCAAGGTTGGTGGCTAAGGGTTACACTCAAAAGGAGGGGTTAGATTACACAGACACTTTCTCTCCAGTGGCTAAAATGGCCACAGTCAAACTACTTTTGAAAGTTTCTGCTTCTAAGCGATGGTTCCTGAATCAGCTTGATATTTCCAATGCTTTCCTCAACGGTGATCTTGAAGAGGATATATATATGAAGTTACCAGAAGGGTATGCTGATATTAAGGGGGACATCCTGCCTCCTAATGCAGTCTGTCGACTAAAGAGATCTATCTATGGCCTTAAACAAGCGTCACGGCAGTGGTTTTTGAAGTTTTCTGACTCATTGATTCAGTTGGGTTTTCTCAAAGGCAATGGTGATCATACATTATTTGTTCGTTGTTTTGGGGAAGATTTCATTGCAGTTTTGGTCTACGTTGATGACATAGTCATTGCAAGTACTACAGAGACAGCTGCAACTCAACTAACTAATGCTCTCAAGGAAAGTTTCAAATTGCGGGAACTTGGTCCTTTGAAATATTTTTTGGGTTTGGAAGTTGCTCGTACTTCTGAAGGTATTTCCCTCTGTCAAAGGAAGTATGCTTTGGAACTACTCACTTCCACTGGTATGCTGAATTGTCAGCCTTCTTCTATCCCTATGGTTCCCAATCTTCATTTATCTAATAGTGATGGTGAATTGTTGGAAGACAGGGAATATTATCGAAGTCTGGTAGGTCGTCTCATGTACTTAACTATAACACGCCCTGATATCACTTTCGCAGTCAACAAGCTCTGTCAGTACTCTTCCGCACCTCGTACTGCTCATCTTAAGGCTGTGTATAAAGTGTTACAGTACATTAAAGGTACAGTGGGACAAGGTCTCTTTTATTCTGCTGACCCTGATCTCACACTCAAGGGTTTTGCAGACTCTGATTGGGCATCCTGTCAAGATAGTAGGAAATCCACTACTGGTTTCACAATGTTTTTGGGTTCCTCATTGATCTCTTGGCGTTCTAAGAAGCAACCTACAGTTTCACGATCCTCTGCAGAAGCTGAGTACCGTGCTTTTGCTCTTGCATCGTGTGAAATGGTTTGGCTGACCACTCTGCTCTCAGATTTAAGGATACGCATTCCTACTCCTATCCTCTTCTCTGACAGCACTGCAGCTCTCTACATTGCTTCAAATCCTGTGTTTCATGAGCGTACCAAACACATAGAGGTGGATTGTCACACGGTCAGAGAAAAGTTAGAGAAAGGTATTATCAAGATGCTCCATGTTCGAACTGAAGATCAGATTGCAGATATTCTCACCAAAGCTCTGTTTCCTCATCAGTTTGTTCATTTAAAGTCCAAGATGAGTCTTCATAACATATTCTGCTCATCTTGAGGGGGACTATTGGAGTATTCATCCGGTTTAGGTTAATTAGTTGGTTTATTCTGGTACAGATAGGTAACCATATGTGTATATAAGACAACACTTGTATATCGTGTTCATTAAAAAAATGAGAAAGGAATCTTTTTCAACAAACTTTTCTCTCTTATCTTCATCCTCTCTGTAGATCGTAATATAACCCTGTCGGCACATGCATCATAACTGATTCAATAATTGAAATTTACTTGATTCATTCAAAGTCATTCAGATCGTAATGACCATATCCGTTTTCTTTTACGGATTAATGACTCCAAGAAAAAATCGAGTGACCGAAAAAAAAAACAATGACATGCTTTAAACTTTAGCTCTAATTTACCCTTTTCAATTTCAATTAATAGATTTTTAGATGTATAATTGCAAAATCATTTAGCTTCCATCCCTACGTCTTTATTTGCAACTCATAGAAGCTCGATCTCGGCCATCATGATTCATGACCACCACTCCCATCACTTTTAAGTGAACATCAATGGGCCTTTTACAAACTAAAACGACTGTTCTTCATATAAGATTAGGGGGAGAACAAAATACAAACCCAACCAACAAAAGCCCAGCCCAAACCAGAATATCTTCTTCTAGGGTTTTTAATTATAAACCCAAAGTTATTGCTGCTCTCAACTCTTCCCGGGAAATTAACCATGGCCACTTGTAGCAAGAAATCGGGCACCAAAGTTAATTTATTGGGTTTGTTTTGGGAGCTCTCTTATCTAATGCATTGTACTTGAATGAAGAGGTTGTTGATTTTAACAAGTTTTCTCTTCTTTTAGGTAAGCGAAAGCCGGAGGATTATTTGGAGTTCAAACCGGTTCTAAAGAAACATAGGGATAACTTGGAGCACAAGGTTTGTCCGATTCCTAAATCTTGTTGGTTAAGTCCTAAATCTCTCTAAGAGTCGTTAGCTAATATTCTAAAATGTTAAAAATTCAGGTAACAAATAAGAAGGTCTTTGTTGACAATCTCTCTCCCGAAACAAAAGTGTCATATATGTATGTGTAGCTCTTTTCTTTTCCTTCTTGGAGCAAGTTTTTTCATGACTGATATATATTGTCCTCTACTTTCACAGCATCGATTTCTTCAAAAGTGTTGGAAGAGTTGTTCGTGTTCAGCTTATTTTAAACCTCAAGGATAAGCTTACGGGCTGTGGCTTTGTTGAGTTTGCTTCTGCTAACGAAGCAGAGAAGGTGACAGAGTTGTTTATACATATTAATGATGAGAAAAATGTATTTTAAGTATGATTGCTCATGAAATCATCCTTTATACTCTAGGCTCTGGAAGAGAAGAACGGTGAATATTTGCACAATCGCAAGATTTTAATTGAACCAGCTAAGACAGCTTCACTACCCAAGTAAATATATTTTTCATGTTACGGTGGTTTGTGACTCTTATTGCTAGAGTTTTGATGGCACACTAACGCTATTATTTTTTTTGTTAATTTTAGGTATTGCATAGATCACAAGGTTTGGTAAGTGATTTAACTATTTGCCTTTTGTGTTTTGTTATCAAGAGCACATTGAGTGAAGTTTTTGGTGTACATGGAGAGCCACAAATAAGGGTTTTTGATATTTCAGGTATGAAGACTACCTTCGACAAGAAAGCCTTCCCATAGATGATTATGAGACACCTCACGGTTTTGTTGAGCAAGTACTCTTTGTTACCAATCTCTCTCCCCAAACTAAAATATCAGATATGTAAGTATAGCATCTTCAAATTTCCACTTTCCTTCTTGGGACAAGTTTTTCATGACTGCTACTTTTACAGCATGCATTTCTTCAAAAACGTTGGAGAAGTTGTTAGTGTCCGACTTATTGTAAACCATGAGGGCAAGCATGTGGGCTATGGCTTTGTTGAGTTTGCTTTTGCTAACGAAGCAAAGATGGTGAGAGTAGTTTTCTAGTAATTACGAAAATTTTACAAGAAGTTTTTCGAAAGTACGATTGACTGCTGATTATATATCTTTTATTACTGTAGGCTCTGGAAGAGATGAATGGTGAATATTTGCTTGATCATATGATTTTCCTTGATGTGGCTAAGACAGCTCCATACCCTCCACGACCCAAGTAAATTGATTTTTCCATGTTTGTAACTTATTGCTGCCACTACAGAAGACTAACGCTGTTATTTTTGTTAATTAGGTACAACCTTGCAGAGATGCTTTGGTAAGGGATTTAACTATATACCTTTTGATTTTTGTTATCAAAAGCAGATTGGGTGAAGTTTTTGGTATACATGGAGAGATCACAAAGGTTTTTGATATTTCAGTTACGAGGACTACCTTCGACAAGGAAGCCTTCTGATAGAAGAAGATGTGACAGTGGAAGGACCTGATGAAACTCCTAAGCCTTTTGTTGAGGTACTTATTATCTTCAAAATATGTCAGGCTCACCCTTAGCTTCTAATAACAAAACTCAACTGTTGCTGCAAAGTCGAAAGATGAATTATTCTGAGGATGAATCTTTTAGATGAGGCTACTTTTTTTCTTTATGCAATTTAAGTTCTTTTCTACTAACACACTTGGCTGTTAAATTCAGGCAGTAGCCATAAGGAAAAAGACGCTATTTATTGCCAATCTCTCTCACAAAACTAAACCATCACATATGTGAGTTGGGCCTTTAATTTCCTCTTTTCATTCTTGGTTGAAGTTTTTTTCATGCTAATATTTTCTCCTCCTTTTTAACAGTATCAATTTCTTCAAAGATGTTGGAGAAGTTGTTCATGTTCGACTTATTGTAGACAATAAGGGCAAGCTTGTGGGCTATGGCTTTGTTGAGTTTGCTTCTACTAACGAAGCAAAGAAGGTGAGAGTAGCTTATAGTAATGATGAAAAGGAGTTTTAAGTAGTCATTTGAAAATCAATGTATACTTATGATGGAAAATCTACAAGTAGTTATTTGAAAGCACGATTGCTGATTATATCTTTTAGGCACTGGAAAAGAAGAACGGTGAATATTTGCACGATCGCAAGATTTCTCTTGGAGTGGCTAGGATAGCTCCACACCCTACACCCAAGTAAATTGGTTTTCCATGTTATGCAACACTGGTTGTAACTTATTGCTAGTGTTTTGATGCCATTACAGAAGACTAATGCTATTGTTTTGTTAATTATAGGTATTGCATAGATCACAAGGTTTGGTAAGGGATTTGACTATTTACATTTTGAGTTTGTCTTCAAGAACACATTTTGGGTGAGAATTTTGGTATACATGGAGTATCACTAGTGTTTTTGATATTCCAGGAACGAAGACTACCTTCGACGAGAAAACCTTCTGGCGGAAGAAGATGAGGCAGTGGAAGGACTAGATGAAACTCCTGTTTTTGTTGAGGTACCTGTTCTTATTGTTGCCACAAAGTGGAAAGATGACTTATTCTAAGGATGTATTATTCTTTTTGGAGTTGTAACACACTTGGCTGATGTTAAATTCAGGACCTTGCGGTAAGGAAAAAGACGCTCTTTGTTGCCAATCTCTATCACAAAACTAGACTATCACATATGTAAGTAGCACCTTTAATTTCTTGTTTCGTTCTTGGAGCAAGTTTTTCATGACTGATATTTTACTCTCCACTTTTACAGCATCAGTTTCTTCAAAGATGTTGGAGAAGTTGTTTGTGTTCGACTTATTGTAGACCACATGAGTGAGCGTTTGGGCTGTGGCTTTGTTGAGTTTGCTTCTGCTTACGAAGCAAAGAAGGTGAGAGTAGTTTAATGATGAAAAGTAGTTTAAGTATTCATTTGAAAAGTAGTTATTTGAAAGTAACAATTGCATTATATTGCTGACTAATCTTTTACTCTGTAGGCGCTGGAAACGAAGATTAGTAAAGCATTAATGGGTCAATTTATTTTTCTTGACATGGCTCAGATAGCTCTATGCCCTCTCCGACCCAAGTAAATTGACTTTCCTTGTTATGGAGATTTGTGTCTCTAACTTATCGATATAGTTTTGATGTCGTAACAGAAGATTAACGCTAATATTTTTGCTAATTAGGTACAACCTTGCAGAGAAGCTTTGGTAAGGGATTTAACTTTTGATTTTTTGGTATACATAGAGAGATGACAAAGGTTTTTGATATTTCAGGTACGAAGACTACCTTAGACAAGAAAGCCTAGACGATGACTTGGAGACCAAACCAAATATGAAGAAACAGGAGGTACCTTTGATGGACTTATTCTGCGGTAAGAAGATTACCATCTCTGACGATGACAGGTGCAATGGTTGTTATATTTGCAAACAAGAAGGTTAGTCACGCCTTGTTTACGAAGATCATTCACTTGCATCAGAGGAGCGATGATGTTTCCACAGAAATCGTCGTAGATCAAGGTCTTGTAACATTCCTCGTTTGGATTCATAGGTTGATTCATGTTCAGCATCCGGATTACACATTCTGCAATCGGACGAAATTAAAATGTCTATCATAATTTTGACTCTGTTGCTGCTCTTAAACTTTTAGGTTAATCTAATGATAAATGACTCACCTCAAAAATAGGTAATGAATATGATCACTTTAGCTTCTCATAGTACGTGTGTGACCGAATAATTACTTGTTTTTTCATACATCCCAGCGAGTTCATCGATGTGAAAAAAGAAATAAAAATAAAAACATTTTGTCTACTGAAAAATGAGGTAGTGTGGAACATATAAGAGAACAACATTAGTTGGGAAATGATACAACCTCTGACTTTAGAGAAAGAAACCAGAACAAGAAGGAAATAAGGTGGTATTTTAGTAATCCTTATGGGTTAATATCGAGTTAAAAATGCTCACAATTGAACTAGATATTGTCTATAATTGATAAGCTATCAACTCTTTGGACCAAGAAGGCAACACTAGGGAAGATGATTACACACTTGTGCTTTGTGCGTGGTGAGAGATGATGTTAGCCACTCCCTGATTTCAAGGTGTTACTCAACCTCAAGGAGAAGAAGCATGCATATATGAATATGAGAGTTTTGCTGAACAAAAACTTTCTAGGATTATATTTCTCATGCGCTTACCAGTCTAAGCCCTCAAAAAGTCCTTGGCCTTTCACAGCACAAGTTTTGAAAATTGCCCATTGACGGCTCTTATCTTGTGCAACTCCAAGGCCTCTGTCACAGCTGCATCATCGAGTGCTAGCTCCTGGTAAATCCTGTTATATAACATTACCAGAACTGTAATTGCATATATGCAAAACCAAACAGATGTGATACGGATTCTCTCTCTCTCTATGAGGTTAAGATTGAAGGTGCTAAAGATATATGGGTATGGAGGAAGAGAAAGTTGTAGAGAAGTGAAACAAATGAAACATTTCATAGAGAATTTGAAGTGTCTTGGAGAGGTTAAAGTTAAGGTTCAAGACTTCAAGTGGATGAACAAGATAAGTTCTTCACAAATGAAACTAATGAAGCTCCTTCCTGCAGCTTCTTCCAAATGCAAGATCCAATTCATTTGATTCCCTTCACATCAATTTCTTTCTTTTGACTCTCTTTCTACTTTTCTGTAGATTTATATTTGGTGTTTAATGCTACCACTTTGTTTTAAGTGAAAAGTGTTTGATTGAAAGAAAATGGGAAGCTTTGATTTTCAAGTGTTTCAAGAACTATATTTCTCTTCCTTTACAATATTCTTCTCCATTGCAAACTACTATACACCAAAAAAAACTAGACTATGCACAATTTCAGACTATACACCAAAAAACTAGTTTTCTATTCAACCTCCTCAACTAAAACTATACACCAAAAACTATACAATATTACTCTTCATCATCATCATCATCATCCTCATCATCATCATCACGTAGGTTAAGCCAATCAAACTCATCCTCCTTTGGCAGCTCTTTCTCCACTTTTTTCACTCCTCTCTCGACAATCACGTTGATTCTCCACAACACAATCTTACTTTCCCATTTCATGCCTTTAACTGCATAAAGTCTCCAAAGCAGACCCTTAACGAATTTGTATTCGAACTTCCCATACCATTCCAGTTGTTTCTTGACAATAGTTTCCACATCTCTGAAAGCTCTCCTTACAAGTCCAACTTCCATTTCTCTTTCCACAAGCTTTCTCACTGACTCTATCATCTTATATGCAATCTCCTTAGGAGATTCAGCATAACCTGGGTCCTCTATCATGTGAATAACCGCACAGAAGGCACTCGTAAACGCCAAGACCCAGCAACTGTTATCTACCAACAACTCTGTTGGTGGGTCTAGCCTTGTACTTATCACTGGACAAAGATTCTCCATCACGGGATTCAAAAAATCGTCATCAATAAGCGGTATTGTTAAGCACTGGAAGATATAAACCGCTCTCTGAAACTCTGTTTCGCTTTGCGATGCAAAATAGTCACGAAGATCATCCCATGACTCATAATGGAAGACAAACATTTCATTCGCAACATGGTTCACCACCTGACCTAGAACTTTGAACAAACTGTCAGAGATTCCTTCTTCCTTAAGGCAAGAGATAAGCAATGGCTGGAGTTTTCTGAACTCTGAAATGTCTATTGGCGCCTTCTTTGAGAAGTGATCAGAGAGTAACACGTTGACTCGTCTGATTGCTATCTCTCTAGACCTATCTTCAAGATCAGTGGAAGCAAAGATCTTTAACACTTCAAGTGAAGATAAACTCTTCAAATAATCATACCAGCTACTCTCAAATTCGTCTCTACGATACTTAAGACCATCCTGTGGTTTGATGGCTGAACTCTCCGGTTCTGTAACCAACATTTTGATCTTCCTCACAATCTCCTTGGTCTCTGTTCCTCTAACTACTCCTTCGATCTCAATCATAGAAGCCAACACAAAATGGGATTGATCTTTAGTGTAATGATACAAATTCATATCTCGTGAGAAGAACCTCTCAAAATCTTCAAGCCCTTGTACCAAAAACTCTTCCTCTTCCTCATTCACCAACTCAATTACTGATTTCACAACAGTCGAAAGCCGAGCTGCCATTAACGCTCTTATCTTCTTGAAATTCATACCTGTATCAACAAGCTGAATCCACATTTTAACAAAAGTTTGAAACGCCAAGCTCCAATCTTGGACTCTAGCTGGACTAAGCAAGACATTCTCAGCTCTCTGCAAAATCATCTCCAAGAACTTATCAATGAATTCCTTGTAGACTCGTGGCAAATCGATGAAGACATGAAAAGCTTTAAGAGGTTCACTATTAGCTAACGTTAAGATACAATCACTGAGCTCGTCCCATTTGTCTTTATGCAACACCACAACATTGTAAGCTACACAAGACACGATTCTTTTGAGGATCTTTACGTCAGATTCTTTGGTTTCTTGATTTGTCAAGAATGAAATCAAAAGGGGTTTGATTTCGTAAAGAGAGTCGAGAGAGGGTTTGAACTTGAAATCGGTTAGGGTTTCGGAGAGTTGATAGATTGATCGGAATCTGAGAACGCCATTGGAAGAAGATTGGTAGACTTTAAGAAGCTTTAGGGTTAAGCAAGATGGGTTATGAGAAACCCAGAAATTGTACAAAAGACGCGATGTTTCATATTGTACAGAGTCTTGACGCATGAAGAGTTGATTCACAATGATGGCTATTTCTTCGTAGCTTGGATTCACAAGAATCTCTCTCGCTTTCGACGGAAGATTCGAAGATTCCTCCATTGCGATTTCTCTGGATTCGGAATTTTCCGAGAAAATTTCGGTTTTTCGTCTGAGAATCTTTTTCGGGAAGATGGGTTTAAACCGGAGCTGGTTATAAGATTTTTATTATTACTAAACCGGAATTAACCGCAAATTAGCTGAAATAACTCGGTATGATTATGATTAAGTCTAAATCTGAACCGAGCGTAAATCAACCTTACTCTGTCTCTAGTAGAGACTCTCTACCTAGTAACTTTGAGAATTTGAAAAGTGGACTTAACCAAATTTGATATACCTTCGGTTTTAAGTTGACTCCCAAACAAATTTCCACTAAACTTGGAAACTTTCAGTTAGAAATACAGTGTAATTCAAATTTTTGTAACTTTCGATTTCGAAATACAGTGTAAATTGAGACTTTAGATGCTTGTACAAGCAAATTACTGGTAAAACCTATATAAATTAATACTCGATAAATTAATAAACAAGATAATAATTTTTGAAATCTCTATTTAAAAATATGGTCCCAACAATATCATAAATTAATAATCATGTAAATTTGTATATTATATATAAAATATTTTTAGTGATGTCATAAAAATAGCCAAAAAAGTTTTGTATGTTTTCAAATTTTGAATATGCATAGCTTTTGTTTTAATAGTCGCATAGATTTTTCAAATACAAAAATAGATGTCACTATTTATAATTTTGAATTTATGTATATCGTATAGATTGTTTTATGTTCGAAATACTAAATGTTTAAGTCTAAAACTATATTTATAACATCCAAAATATTAATTTATTAAGATCACATTGTTTTAAGTCATATTTAAAAAAAAAAGTTTTAACAATTAAAACAAAACTTTTCATAAATTAATATTACTATAAATTAATAAAACATTATGGTCCCAACATTATTAATTTATAGAAGTTTTACGGTCGATCTCATCGAGAAACTAATATACCATGATCTGAAGAATTTGATCTGTCTTTTGTTTATCCTAAGGGCTATTTACAAAAACAGTAGACATCACTCAACCTATAACTACAGTACCTTGCTCAACAAGAAAACAGTAGATAAGAGAATTCGGTACATAAAGCTTCTCCTACACAAACCAAACTATGACAAAAAAAACCTCAATTGCCTAAAGTCTCTAGTTGGTTCAGCCAATCAAGCTCACTTTGGGAGCACTTTTACCTCCTGCACTTTTTCCCATTTACGTTTTAGTAATTTCATCTGTAGAGTCAAGAAAATAGACTATACTAACGTAAACTGATAAGATAATTTTCAAAGGGACAATGGCGGCGGCGACTCAGGGCGATTGTAGGGTTTTGGGCGAGTGTGAGCAGGATGCTAATATGGAGGATATCAGTGAACGTAATCGACCGCCAGAAGATCCACCGGATGTTCCCGGGTCATGGGTGCAGAAGGTGACAGGGAGTAACGCGGGTGGGATGCCGATACCGGAGGAGTTTTTGGATGAGAAGTTCATTTCGGAGAGACTGTCGTTGGAGTTTCCGGATGGGGAGGATGGAGAACCGGTGATAACAATAGGGCCTGAGGTGTTGGATGCTATGAACGGATTGTGGAAGAAGTGTATGATTGTTAAGGTTCTGGGGAGGAACATTCCCATAGCGGTTTTGAGCAGGAGACTAAGGGAGATGTGGAAACCAAGTGGGGAAATGTTTGTCATGGATCTGCCGCGTCATTTCTTTATGATTCGTTTTGAAAAAGAAGATGAGTACATGGCAGCCTTAACGGGAGGGCCTTGGAGAATTTTCGGGAGCTATCTCATGGTACAAGCTTGGTCACCGGCTTTTGATCCTTTGAGAGATGAGATCAACACTACTCCGGTTTGGGTTAGATTGGCGAATATTCCAGTGAATTTTTATCATAAGACAATTTTGATGGGTATTGCCAAAGGGTTGGGAAAGCCAGTGAAGGTGGACGTAACAACATTGAACTTTGAGCGGGCAAGGTTTGCTAGAGTCTGTGTGGAAGTAAACCTTTCGAAACCACTTAAGGGTACAGTCCTGATCAATGGGGAGAGGTATTTTGTGGCATATGAGGGTCTGAATGCTATTTGTTCAACTTGCGGAATGTACGGTCATTTGGTGCATGCATGCCCAAAAGGAATTCAAGAGAGAGCTATAGTCACAATGACACCAAAAGTCACGGGGGGTGACAATGCAAATGTGGTGCACCAGCAGGATGATGGGTTTATTCCGGTGAGGCCACGGGGGCGTAGAGTGGAACCACCGAGGAAGAACGCGAATCTGACGGCGGAGGGAAGCAGGAGAGTTATGGAAAGAATTCCACTGGATTTGGTGCGTGGAAAGGGGCAAGAAAATATTCCTGTATCAAACAGTTTTGGTAGCTTGGATATTGAGATGTCAATGCCGGATAAAAGGGAAGACGTGATCAGATTAGGGGAAAATAAGGAAAACGAAAATTCTCAAAATCAGAGAAGGCAAGTGAAGAGTGGTGGCCAAGGCATTGTTTTTGGGGCAGGAAAGGCTACTGGGCTTAATGGGCCTCGAGGTGTTACTAAGGAGAAGAAGGCTGGTAACTCTAAAGGGCCAGAGAATGCTCAGTATAGGCCCAAATTGTTGAAAGCTAATAGGCCCGTTAAGGGACTGGTTTTTGGTCCAACTACAGGTGAACCAGAGATTTCAACAAATGGTAAACGACTGCGAGTTGAGCAATCGAATCTGGGCAGACACGGGGGAAGTTTTGTGAGGAGTGAAGAGGTAAGGAGTGGTACAGAGGTCGTGTCGCAGTCCCAGGCCGAAGGAAATGGAGCTGAGCAGATGTTGTTGGGTTCGGCTTCGAAAGCTACTGACTTGGCTATGCACAGGGATCCGTCGGAGGAGGCGACGGGCTCTCAGACGGCATGACGGGTTGCCCCGGTTGTTCTTATTATTCGCTATTGTGTGATGATGAATTGCATCTTCTGGAACTGCCGGGGGGCTAATAAACCTAACTTCAGACGATCGGTTCGCTATCTTGTGAAGAAATTTCCCACGGATATTCTTGCTATCTTTGAAACGCACGCCGGAGGCGACAGAGCTGGCCAAATATGCCGTGGATTGGGATTTGAAAACTCTTTTCGGGTTGATTCTATCGGACAGAGTGGGGGATTATGGATGCTATGGAGGTCAGGGATTGGTGAGGTGGAAGTAGTTGAGTCTACTGATCAGTTTATTCATTTGGTGGTGGTGAATGGGACGGAAAGGTTGAATTTGATTGCTGTTTATGCTGCTCCTACAGCGAGTCGGAGGAGTGGGCTTTGGGGTAGATTAAAAGAAGTAATCGAGGGAGTAGAAGGACCGGTTGTAATTGGCGGCGACTTCAATACAATAGTTCGCTTAGATGAGCGAACAGGAGGTAATGGGAGGTTATCAACTGATTCGTTAGCTTTTGGTGAGTGGATCAATGATTTGTCACTGATTGATATGGGTTTTCGTGGAAATCAATATACATGGCGGAGAGGAAGAGCTGAGAACACTTTTGTGGCGAAGAGATTGGATCGCGTCCTCTGTTGTGCTCAAGCGAGGTTGCAGTGGCAAGAAGCCATAGTGACTCATCTACCTACATTAGCGTCTGACCACACACCGTTGTACCTACAGTTTTCTCCGACACGGAACATGAATGCTAGTAGGAGACCGTTCAGATTTGAGGCTGCATGGCTTACTCATCCCGGTTTTAAAGAGTTGCTTGATGCTTCTTGGAATAGAAATATTGATACCAGAGAAGCATTAAGGAGCTTACAAACCAGATTGAAGAAGTGGAATCGGGAAGTCTTTGGGGATGTTCAGGTCAGGAAGGAGAAATTGTTGACAGAGATTAATGAGACCCAAGCTCTGATTGATCATCATCAAACAGATGCGCTGTTGAACAAGGAGGCTGACTTGCAAAAAGAATTGGATGTGGTGCTTGAGCAAGAGGAAATGATATGGTTTCAAAAATCAAGGGAAAAATGGTTTGCTCATGGCGACAGAAATACCAAGTTCTTTCACACCTCTACTGTGATAAGACGCCGGCGTAACAGAATTGAAATGCTTAAGAATGATGATGGTCAATGGATTTCTAATGGCCCGGAACTTGAGAAGCTAGCTGTTGGATATTTTAAACGCCTTTATTCTCTCGATGATGTAGAGCAGGTTGTTGATAGCTTACCACAGCGAGGGTTTGTGGAGTTGTCACACGCGGATAAAGCTGAACTGAGTAAGCCTTTTGCTGCAATGGAAGTAGAGAATGCAGTTCGCAGTATGGGTAAGTTTAAAGCTCCAGGACCAGACGGATACCAACCAGTTTTCTATCAACAAAGCTGGGACGTGGTAGGTGATTCAGTTCTTCGCTTTGTGATGGCGTTTTTCAGTACTGGAGAGCTACCTGAGAATACAAATGATGCATTGGTGGTGCTGATAGGGAAGGTACAAAAACCAGAAAGAATAATGCAATTCAGGCCTATTAGTCTTTGTAACGTTTTGTTTAAAACTATTACAAAGACAATGGTGGGTAGACTTAAGGGAATGATGACAAAGCTCATAGGTCCTGCACAATTAAGCTTTATTCCAGGAAGGTTGAGTACAGATAACATAGTAGTGGTACAGGAGGCGGTACACTCTATGAGACGTAAGAAAGGGAGAAAAGGATGGATGCTACTTAAGTTAGATTTGGAGAAAGCATATGACAGAATCCGGTGGGATTTTCTAGAGGATACTCTACAGGCTGCGGGTTTCTCTAATGTATGGGTGCAATGGATTATGCAATGCGTTTCAGGTCCATCTATGAGTGTGCTATGGAATGGGGAAAAAACCGAGGCTTTCAAACCGTTGAGAGGATTGCGACAGGGCGATCCGTTGTCACCTTATCTGTTTGTCTTATGTATGGAACGACTTTGTCATCTCATTGAGGAGAGTGTTCTGGCTAAGCAGTGGAAACCAATCAGCTTGTCTAGGGGGGTCCAAAGTTATCTCATATCTGTTTTGCAGATGACTTGATTTTATTTGCAGAAGCTTCAGTTAGCCAAATCCGGGTAATACGGCGGGTGTTGGAGAGGTTCTGTAATGCGTCGGGACAGAAAGTGAGCTTGGAGAAATCAAAAATTTTCTTCTCGGAGAATGTGTCTCGAGACTTGGGAAATTTGATTAGTGGCGAGAGCGGGATTAAGTCGACAAAAGATTTGGGAAGATATTTAGGGATGCCTATTCTTCAGAAAAGAATTAATAAAGAGACATTTGGTGGTATTTTGGAAAGGATGTCTTCTAGACTAGCAGGTTGGAAAGGCCGTATGTTGAGTTTGGCAGGTCGCATCACTCTTACAAAGTCGGTGCTGTCCTCGATACCGGTCCACTCAATGAGTACTATTAAGCTCCCGGCTTCGACTATAAACAAGTTGGATAAGATTTCGAGAGATTTCTTGTGGGGTAGCAGCCCGACGGAGAGGAAGCTGCATTTGGTGTCATGGAAAACCGTATGTTTACCTAAAAGGGAGGGCGGTTTAGGTATCCGCACGGCTGGTGAAATGAATAAAGCGTTGGTTGCTAAGTTGGGATGGAGGATTCTGAATGATAAGTCTAGTCTTTGGGTGAGAGTGGTCAGGAGTAAATATAAAGTCGGGGAAATAAAAGATCACACATGGACTAAGGTTAAGAGTAACTGGTCTTCCACATGGAGAAGTGTGGGAATTGGACTTCGAGAAGTGGTGCATAAGGGACACAGTTGGGTGGTTGGTGATGGTCAGACTATAAGATTCTGGACAGACAAATGGTTGATGGCGAGGCCGCTGGTGGATACAATCACAGCAGAATTACCTGTAGAGTATTTGACGTGGACAGCAAGGGATTTATGGAGAAACGAGTCTGGTTGGGATCTGAATAAGATTGTGCCTTATGTGTCACATAATCGGCGGCTGGAGTTGGCAGCAGTTGTGTTGGACACGGTCACAGGAGCCAAAGATAGGCTGTCTTGGGGAGAGACGGCAGATGGTAAGTTCACAGTAAGGTCAGCTTATCGTTTGTTAACTCGAGATGACACACCAAAGCAAGATATGGCCAAGTTTTATGACAAAATCTGGGGTGTCATTGCTCCAGAGAGAGTACGTGTATTCCTTTGGTTAGTTGGTCAGCAGGTGATCATGACAAACAAGGAGCGATACAGAAGACACTTGTGTGATACAGAGATTTGCCCTGTGTGTAAGAGTGGAGTTGAATCAATTATACATGTGCTTCGTGACTGCCAAGCAATGGTGGGGATTTGGGTTCGTATTGTACCAAGAAACAAGAGGCGGGACTTTTTTAATACATCCTTACTTGAGTGGATGTATGACAATTTGAATGGTGGAGGTAATGAGGAGTGTGGCTCATGGCCAACAATGTTTGCGGTAGCAGTTTGGTGGGCCTGGAAATGGAGGTGTGGTAACGTGTTTGGAGAGAACAGGTTATGGAAGGATAGAGTACGGTTTATAAAGGAACTAACCACGGAGATATTGGCTGCTCAAGGGAGAAGTAGGGAAGTGGTACAAAGGCCGGGTCGAGTTGAGAAACAAATCAAATGGACTAAGCCTCCGTCGGGCTGGTTCAAGTTAAATACTGACGGGGCATCTCAGGGAAACCCGGGTTTGGCTGCGGCTGGGGGAGTGCTACGAAATGAATCCGGCGAATGGTGTGGTGGATTTGCACTAAATATAGGGCGGTGCTCGGCGCCTATTGCGGAACTTTGGGGAGTGTATTATGGATTGTTCATAGCTTGGGAGAGGGGTATTACGAGACTGGAGTTGGAGATTGATTCAGAAATGGTGGTAGAGTTTCTGAAATCCGGGATAGGGGATTCGCACCCGCTGTCATTCCTAGTACGATTGTGCTACGGCTTTCTTTCGAAGGACTGGATAGTCCGAATCTCACATGTGTATAGGGAGGCTAACCGTCTCGCTGACGGGTTAGCGAACTATGCGTTTAGTTTGCCTTTAGGCTTTCATGCTTTTCATTCTGTTCCATCGGTTGTTGATGAGTTCATACAAGACGATATGTTTGGTCCTCCTCGTCTTAGACGAGTGATGGTGTAATTGTTTTTTCTTTATTAATAAAACCCGGGAGGATTACTCCCGGTTGCCCACCAAAAAAAAAAAAAACGTAAACTGATAAGAACAGATACTACATTTAAAGCTGAGCTTGTTCTGATGTTGATGCTACGAATTTGTTTTAGCATCAAATGAACTCTAAAGATAAAAGGGTTTATTGAAGAGAAAAATGGGAAGCTTTTTTACAAGTGTTTCAACAACTAACTCTATATATCTCTTTCTTTACTATTTTCTTCTCCAATGCAACCTATACACCAAAAAACTAGACTCTGCACAATTTCATCAAAAAAGGTTCTGCACAATTTCAGACTACACACCAAAGGAGCTAGTTTTCTATTTAACCTCCTCATCAGCAGCAGCAAGGTTCAGCCAATGAAGGTCGTTCTGTGGCCGCTCTTTCTCCTCTTCTTCCACGTCTCTATCGATAATCACGTTGATTCTCCACAACACAATCTTACTTTGCCATTTCATGCCTTTGATTGCATAGAGTTTCCAAAGCAAACCCTTAACGAATTTGTATTCGCTTGTACTGTACCATTCCAATTGTTCCTTCACAATGATTTCAACATCTCTGAAAGCTCTCCTCACAAGCCCAACTTCCATTCCTCTTTCCACAATCTCTTTCACAGAATCTATCATCTTATATGCAATCTCACTAACGGCGTTAGCGTAACCTGGGTCCTCTATCAAGTGAATTGCTGCACAGAAAGCACCCGTAAACGCAAAAACCCAGCAACTGTTGTCTACCAACACCTCTCCTGGTGGGGCTAGCCTTTCGATTATCTCTTGGTAAAGGTTATCCATCACAGGATACAAAAACTTTTTATCATCAAACTTCATTAATAAGCATTGGAAGATATAAACCGCTCTCTGAAACTCTGTTGTACTCGATGCTATATAATCGCGTAGATCGTACCATGTCTCCTCTTGACAGACCAAAATCTCATAAGCAACATGGTTCACCACCTCACCTAGGACTTTGAACATACTGAAAGAGATTCCTTCTTCCTTTAAGCAAGAGATAATCAATGGTTGGAGTTCTCTCATCTCTGCAATGTCTATTTCCACCTTCTCTGTAGTGTTATCAGATAGTAAACAATTGAGTCGTCTGATTGCCATCTCTCTGGACCTTTCTTCAAGATCAGTGGAAGCAAAGATCTTTAACACTTCCAGTGAAGATAAACTCTTCAAATGATCATACCAGCCACGTTCAAACTCTTCCCTACGATTCTGAAGATCATCATCCTGTGGTTTGATGGCATGATTGTCCGGTTCTGTAACCAACATTATGATCTTTCTCACAATATCCTTAGTCAAATGTGTCCCGAATCCTTTGATCTTGATCATTAAATCCAACACAAAATGGCATTGATCCTTAGTGTACTTATACAGATTCATCTCTCGTGAGAAGAACCTCTCGAAATCTTCAAGCCCTTGTACCAAAAACTCTTCTTTATCCTTCTTAACTAGCTTCTTTACTGAATTCACAACAGAGGAAACCCGAATCCCCATTAACGCCTCTAATAACACCAACATCATCCCTGTATCCACAAGCTGAATCCACATCTTAACAAAAACTTGTAAAGCCAAGCTCCAATCTTCAACACTATAAGGATCAAGAAAGACATTACTAGCTTCCTCTAAGATTTTGTGCAAGAACTTATCAATGAAACTCTTGTAGACTGGTGGCAAATCAATGAACACATGAAAAGCCTTAACAGGTTCTTTGCTATTCACTAACGTCAAGATACAATCACCAAGCTCGTCCCATTTGTCTTTATGCAAGTCCACAACATTGTAAGCTACACAAGACACGATTTTTCTAAGGATCTTGAAGTCAGATTCTTTGGTTTCTTCCATTGTCAAGCATGAAATCAAAACCCCTTTGATTTCATAAAGAGAGTCGAGAGAGAGTTGGCGATTTCTCAAATCGGTGAGAGTTTCGGAGAGTTGATAGATTGATCGGAATCTGAGAACGCCATTAGAAGAAGATTGATAGAGCTTAAGAAGCTTTAGGGTTAAGCAACCTGGGTTACAAGAGACGCAGAAATCGTACAGAGCTCGAGATGTTTTATATTGCTGAGAGTCTTGACGCTTAAAGAGATTATCGACGATCATCGCTAGTTCTTCATAGCTTTCACTCACAAGTATCTCTCTCGCTATCAACTGGAGATTCGAAGATTCCGCCATTGCTATTCCTCCGGAAAATTTCGTCTGAGAATCTTCTGGAAGATGTGCGTTTTTGTTACGAAGCTGAAGATAAACCGGAATTAACCGTATATTTAGTTGATATCATTCGGTTTGATTTTAATTAACTCTAAAGCTGAACCGAACGTAAATCAAAACGGGTCACGGATTGCAGCTGGGCTCAAGGAGAATTGGGCCCATTTTGGGCTTTAAATATAATCAAAGGGTTTAATGCTTTACTGTTTCTTGGCAAACAAGAGAGACAATTCCTAGTGAGAAGGTCTTCACTCTTCTCTCTTCAGGTTAGGTAGATTTCTTCAGTTAATTAAGTTATCTTTTGAGAGCGACAAGGAAATTGACAAGCAGTGATATAGATACTACCATTCCAAGGATCTTGTGCATGCGATTACAGATCAATGTAGGGACGTATGTATGTGCGTTCGTGCGAAGAAGAATAAAAGTTGTTGTTTATCGTGGTGGGTCGAGTGAGAGGCTAGAGATATGAAGGAAGTGGTAGAGAAGTGAAACAGATGAGACATTTCATGGAGAATTTGAGATGTCTCGAAGTAGTCAAAGTTAAGGTTAAAGTGGTACAACAAGATAAGTATTTGCCACTCACTAATGTCCTAATTTAGCTCCCTATAGCTTCTTACAAGTGCAAGATTCAATTCATTTGCTTCTCCCAAGTTGATGCTACAAATTTGCTTTGAGCTAAGTGTTTTGAAAAGTGAGTACTTAACTAGATTCTGCAGAACACCATATTATGCAATTCCTAAGCCTCAGGTAGGCTAAGCCAATCAAGCTGACTCGTTGGGATCTCTTTAAGATACTCATTTACTCCCCTCTAAAGTCTAAAATTATTTCTCCACAACATAATATTACTTTCCAGCTTCATGTCGTCGATTAAGTAAAACCTCGAAAGCAAACCCTTAACGAATCTGTATTCAATCCCAACTTCCATTCCTCTTTCCACAAGCTGTTTCACTGAATCTATCATCTTATATGTAATCTCCTTAATGGATTCAGAATGTCGTTTGATATCTATCAAGTGAACTGCTGCACAGAAGGCACCCGTAAACGCCAAGACCAGCAACTGTTATCTACCAACAACTCTCTTGGTGGGTTTAGCCTCGTGCTTATCTCAGGAATCATAAACTCTTGATCATCAAGCTCCATTGTTAAGCACTGGAAGATATAACCGCTTTTGTGGAACTCTGTTTTGCTTCGGGACACAATATAATCACGTAGATCGTACCATGTGTCCTCTTGGTAGACCAACATCTCATACGTAACGTGGTTCACTACCTGACCTAGGACTTTGAACATCCTGTCAGAAACTCCTTCTTCCTCAATGCAAGAGATGAGCAATGGTTGGAGTTCTCTCATCTCTGCAATCTCTATTTGCACCTTCTTTGAAGTGTGATCAGAGAGTAAGACATTTAGTCGTCTGGTTGCTATCTATCTAGACCTATCTTCAAGATCAGTTGACTCAAAGATCTTTAAGACTTCCAGTGAAGATAAATTCTTCAAATAGTCACACCAGACACCAGTCACTGTCAAATCTAACTCAAACTTGAAAACTTTCATTTAGAAAATACAGTGTAAATTCAAAGAATTTTCGGTAACTTTCAATTGAGAGAAATAGTGTAAATTCAGACTCTGGATGCTTGTACAACCTAATACAATACCTTGCTCAACAAGAAACATTAGGAGTAAAGAGTAGATATTATGTAAATAAGTTTCTTCTCCTACACAAACCAAACTATGCAACAAAAAAAAAAAAACTCAATTGCCTAAAGTCTCGGGTTGGTTCAGCCAATCAAGCTCACTCTTTGGAAGCTCTTTTACCTCCTGCACCTTTTCCAGAGTCACATTGATCCTCCACAACACAGACCTAGTTTCCATGCTCATGCCTTTGATTGCATAGAGTCTCCAAATCAAACCCTTGACGAATCTGTAGTCATTAGTAGTGTAACAGTCAAATTGTTTCTCCACAATGCTTTCCATATTTATGAAAGCTCTCCTCACAAGCTCAACTTCCATTCCTCTTCCCACAAGCTCTCTCACTGAATCTATCATCTTATATGCAATCTCCTTCAAGTATTCAGCGTGACTTGAGACCTCTATCAAGTGAATTGCTGCACAGAAGGCACCCGTAAACGCTAAGACCCAGCAATTGTTATCTTCCCACAAGTCTCTTGGTGGGTTTAGGTTTCTATAAATCTCTGGAAGAAGATTATTAATGGCATGAATCACAAACTCTTTATCATCGAGCCGCATTGTTAAGCACTGGAAGATATAAACCGTCTTCCTGAACACTGTTTTGCATTCTGTTGCAATGTAGTCCCATAGACCAAACCAGTTGTCCTCTTGGTAGCTAGACAACTCATTTAAAACATGGAAGACCACCTGACCAAGAATCTTGATCGTGCTCTCGGGAACTCTTACTTCTGCAAGACAAGAGATGAGCAACGGCTGGATTTCTCTAATCTCTGAAACACTTATTTCCTCTTTCCCAGCAGTGTGATCACAAAATAACTCATGAAGTCTCATGATTGCTATCTCTCTCGACCTATTATCAAGCTTACTTAATGTAACCTCTCTCATGATTTCCACTGGAGATAAAGCATCCAAAATGTCTTCCAATTCCCAGTCAGGATCTACTCCAAGATATTCATCCTCATCGTCAGAAGGGCTGCTGAGTTCAAAAGCTGGATTATGCACATACTTGTCAAGTTTTGTAACCATTCGATAGATCTTCCAAGCAACTTCCTTGGCCTCTGTTCCGATTTCTGAAATCTTGAACGCAAACTCTGCCACAAACATGCATTGATCACTATTCCACTTAAACTGGTACGCGTCTTCCGCCAAGAAAATCTCAAGAGATTTAAGTCCTTTTAGCAAAAACTCTTCTTCAATTCCATGCCACACAATGTCATGAGCAGATTTCCAAACAATGTGAAGAATGTCTCTTGTCAAATCAAATCTCATTTCAGAATCCATAAGCAAAATCCCCATTTTAACAGCAGATTTCAAAGCCAAGATCCAATCTTCAACTCCATCTTCTTCAGGATGAAGCAAAACCTTGTAAACTTCATCAAGAAAACTCTGCAAAAACCGGTACACGAATTCTCCGTAAAGTGACGATGGCAATTGGATAAAGACATTAAAAGCCCTAATCGGATCATTGATAGCAAGTGAGAGTATACAATCACTCATCTCTTCCCAGACACCAACTTTATCAGCTACTAAAGAAACGATGATTCTCACAATCTTTGAGTCAGAATTTTTAGCGTTTTCCATTGTCAAGCAAGAAATCAGAAGTGGTTTGATTTCATAAAGAGCAACGAGAGAGAGTTCGAATCGCTGAGCTTTGAGAGTTTCAGAAAGAAGATAGATCGATCGTAATCGGAGAACTTCATCGGAAGAAAATCGATACACCATGAGAAGCTTTAGGGTTAAGCAATTTGGGAAACCAGAGACGCAGAAATTGAACAGAGCTCGCGCTGATTTGTATTCGTCGGATTCTTCAGGCATATAGAGTTGTTCGACGATCATCGCTAATTCTTCGTTGCTTGGTGTCGCAAGAATAGACCTCGCTTTCAACGTAAGATTCGAAAATTTCGCCGTCGCAGTTTCTCCGGAATCGGATTCTTCCATTGCCATTTCTCCGAGAAAATTATAGCTCTTCGTTCTAGGTTTAAGGGTTGAAGATTTAAGGGTTATTATTCCGAAACTGTTTAATAAACCGGACTTAACCGCAAATTAGATTAAATATATTCGGTTTGATTTTAATTAACTCCAAAATTTCCCAAATCATACTGAACCGAACATAAACCAAACCTGTACTTGGAACAATTTTTCTTTATTAGAGAGAGATAACAGAAATTGGCTATACCATGAATTCAAGGCCGGCTCAATTAATTTGGAGTCCCTGTACAAATTTTAAAAATTGGCCTTTTTCATACTAAATAAAATATTTGGACCTTTTTCATACTAAAAATATCTTAAAGTTTTTAAAATACCCTTTTTCTTACTAAAAAAAAAATTAGACCCTTAACTTTACCCAAAATTTTTTTGGCCCGCAACATTTGCTCCCCTAGAACCCCCTAACGCCGGCCCTGCATGGATTATATGGGGAATTTGGAAACACATGAATGAGCTTGTGTATGAGAATGTTCAAGGTGATCTCAATGTCCTGATTGATATGGAGGAGTCAGCTTTATGGGATTCTCAATCTCAGCTCACAAAATCGTCCTCAACTGATAACCGAATTCCTTCTTTATTAGCTAATTAGGAGAGGTCAAAACCGGTCGTAGGTGTACTTAAGTGCAACGTACATTCTTTGGTTACTTTTTAATTTCAATGAATGATGACAAAAAAAAAGAGAAATTCTTGAAAATTATTACCTGAATCAATAGGCTTACGTGGTTTGAGAAAGTAGACAACAATCCCAAGGCTACGCTTCTATCTCTTAGAGCATGATTATACGGGGTATGTTAGCAAAATCTTAGCAAAATCTTAGCAATAAAGTGATTACATTTAATCAGTTTCCTCCTTTAAGACTAACAGACGTTCCTTAGCTAAGGAACGAAAGTTGGCTTAAGAGACGGCCACGTGGCGTCTTGTGATTGGCCAATCCGAGAAATATTTGAAGCAAACAAACCACACGCGTTTTTATTTTTTCCGTTTTCTCTCTCTCTCTCTCTCTCTCGCGAAAACGGAGAAATCCCGATGATTTCCGGAAATCGATTGATATCGGAGATTCCTCCACTCCGGCCGTCGTTCTTCCGTCGGCCCATCATCTCTACCGACTCCGGTGGCGACGGCGTGTTCGGTTGTTGTATTCGGCGAGGTGGGGTTTAGAAATCGGAGAGAAGTTCACAAGATCTCCGATTTTCGATTCGAAATCGGAATCTCTGCTTCAGTTCTATATTATTCAAAGTATGCATGTCTCATTTGGTGTCTGAATTGATGTATTTTGCGTATTAACAAATTAGGGTTCTTCGGATTAACAAATTAGGGTTTCGGGATTAACAAATTAGCTCTTATATATATTTAGCTTAGTCAAATTTACTTCCAACTTAGCTTTGGTTAAATTTGAGTTTGTGTTTTTTAGTTTTTCTTTTTTTTCACATGATTTTATGGAATCATATATATAAAAGTTGGTCAACTCTCTCCATATGAGTGCCACATCATCACACAAGAAAATGACATGTGTCATTCTAGATTATTTAATTAAAAAATTAGCCAAATTAAATGAAAAAAATTAAAAGTTCTTTATTGTATTTAATCCTCCATCAATTCTATTCTTAAATAATTTATTCAAAATTAAAAAATACAAAATTATGTTAATAAAAAGCACTACTTTCATTATACTCTTCTTATTTTACTAAAACAATTTTAATCAATGGTCATCGCTCGTTAATGGCTGAAACTTTATTTTGTTGTAATTTAGTTGTTTGTTACCTAACCTCTTATTAGTTTAGTATTTTTATCTTGAGTCTTTTTCATTATTACGTTTTGTTGTTGATATATGACTTTCTCTTTTTTATTTTTGTGTCTTATGGTAAGTTGGTAATATTGACATGCAAGTTTTTTCAAATGATGAGCTTTTGAGACGTTAGACATACCGAAATATTCAAAGCACGACTATTTCTCTTATATGGCTATATGTAATGGTAGAAGATCTAAAAGTGTTGACTCAAATGACACTTTAGTTTTTGTTTTCTTTTTCTTATTTTCATATGCGAACTCTTGAGATCTTGTTCAATTTATATCTATCCAGTATTTAATAATGAATCTATCACGATGTGGTTGGAGTACTAGATCACGAGAGTACACAAAACAAGAAATTGTATTTATAATCAAGTTATGCGAGTTTCAAACCACACAAATAACATAATTACGTATGATTGTATATCCTATATTATTGTTGTATGTATTCATGATGGTGAAAAAATATTGGGATTTTAAAAATATAAATAATTAAATTTATACATGAAAATGTGTAAATTGATATTTCAAGTAAAAAAAATGAATCTAATCATAAAAATTGTAACTACATAAGATGAATTTATTTTTATTAAATACATAATAACAAATTAAAAAATAAACATAAATTAGCAACAAGAACAATCAACTTAATTTTTCTTAATAATTTTTTTAAAAAAAAACCCACGCGTAGCGTGGGTACTCATCTAGTCATGATTAACAAGAAACATCATTCATTGTCTCAATAAGAAACATCATTCATTGTAAGAAAAAGATAAACGAGTTGTTTTTTTTTTTTTACCTCAATGCTCTACTGTAAGAGATAGTGGACAATGCAAGTATCTGGATACCATTCGCGACGCCTATATGTGCGGCGCCTAAAGTAAGTACCGTCTGCCATTCGAACCTGCGCAAAGCTGTAACGGAAGAAATCCAAGCCTTCTACCTGTCCATTAAAAACACAACGATAAATGTTAGTTTCATATATGTGCCACTACAGGTTATTCTTAGTTCAGTGTGAGGTAAACACCTCAACGTAACTCGCACATATCCTCATAGCGTCTGGAGACCCTGGTAATAAATCCCAATCATTGTAATCTGTGAACGAGTGCATCGCGACAAAGTATAGGCCCTCAGCCAAGAGCGGAATGTCTTCTGCGCTGGAGACGATGAAGACCCCAGACATTCGTTAAGTCTTAGGCGGAGCCTCTCTCTAGCAGTTCATGTTAAAAAGATAAAGATTTGAAAAAGTATATTTTTTGCAGAAATTCAAGACGAAAGAATGGAGTTTAATTAGATTTGCAACGGTGAAATCTGTAGAAAAACTTCGATGGTGGAATCTCAAAGCCTAGCGGCGGAACTGAGTCTAATCATGGATCTTGACCGGAATTTAGTCTAATCGTGGATCTGGATAGGCATTGACTGTGTCACCCATCTCCTTCTTGCGTGTAAACATATCTCAACATGTGGCACATTTCTCTTTAGTCTTATCATGATAGTTAAGGTTATGTAGTGTTTAATTTTAATCAAGATTATAAATGGAGGAGATTAAGCTTCCGTATTTTTATCACTTCTAATCTCCAATGGGCTTTTTATTAATAAATTTATTGGCCTACAAAAGAAAATAGGCCTAACTATCATGACATTTGTTTGGTACACATTTATCAAGTGACATAGGTAAAAATCATTTTTGACATATTATACAGTAGATGGACAAACTAATTAATGTTGAAGAAAGAGGTTTTTGAGTTTTGAAATTAATTAAACTTTAGCTAGATATGTATATATGTGTTGAGTTTTGATATTAGTTAAATGGTAAAATAGCTTTTAATTGCAATTTAATTATTATGGTGACTCATACAACAACATTTAATAAAGAAAATCTATATCATTCTTAGGCTCCGAATGGTGACAGCGGATCGCACAATGTCGGATAAGCGGATTGAGTAGTGCGGAACATTTTAAGTACGATTTATTAGAGAAAAATATAGCAATGCCGATGTTTTTAGACGAACCCCACCCTTTTCTCCTCTAACGAAATTCAACCATCGATTTGCAAAAAATGTTCAAACAAAATCCTCAATTTTCTCGAAAATATAATTTATTTCCAGTACGATTCGGATCTAGTTTCTGTTTTCAATATATAGTCAAAACAAAATCTTTTATAGCGGTGCTAAAACTAATTTCATTTTTGAAATCAAGTTTTTAATTAGTTAACTTTAGATTGTTTCACTTAATTTGAATTAAAATTTTATAATAAAAATCTTTTTCAGCTAAACAAAAATGAGAGTTTCTCAATCCCTCAACAGTTCTAATTCATAAGCTAAAAATTAATACTTTAGTTAGTTTTGGAATTATATGATTTCTTAACATTAAAACAAAAACAAAAAAGGGTTTTGTACATTGTTTCTGCTGCCGTCGGTATTTATTGTCTTATTTCTCCACTCACCATGGTCGAAGCCGCCGAACCAATGATTGGTAACCTATTTTTCTCAATCTTCTCCGGGATTTTACATGGCCACTGTAGAATAATTAAATATTACTTTTTGGAGAGATTGTCATTTGTCATTGCAGATAACGTAGAAATTCCTCTCTTCTGGGACATAAACATGTGCCCCGTCAGTAGTATTTCTAAGCTGAGAAATATTATACAGCATATTGACTTCAGTTTGGGACAATTACATGTTTCGGACCCCAGATTCCCTAGATATCGTGTTTCAGCGAAGAGAGTGGTATGTGGAGATTTTCCGCCATTCGGTAAACAGGTTAAAAACATCCTTAGAAACGACCTAGGGTTTCAGGTATATGATGCAGTTGAGAGGCCAATGTATTGCTAGGATCATAGGCAGCCCAAGCCCATCTACCATGTGCCCGAATTTCTCTTAGAGGTACATTTGCTGAAATACATATTGGAGAACCGTAGAACTCGATTCAGGAATATAATGGTCATTTCGAGTGACTATGACTTTTCCTATACAACGAAAAATTTAATGAATGGAGATTATCACGTCTGTTTAGCTAGATTTGACACTTCAGATCCAGAATTGGATGACTACGTAGGCTACGCATGATACTGGCAATCTCTAGAAGACGGACGAGGTGGTCTGCTCCCGTTCGACCCCCCAACGCTTGATATTATTTCTTATTTTAGGTATTCTTTTTTTTTTAACAATGCCAACACTGTACTTAGTTTTGGAATTAGTATTTTTTTTTGTTCGGTTTGTTTTGTATCGATTCACTTAATTTGAATTAAACTTTTATAGTAAAATTCTTTTCAATTGAAAACAAATAAAAATTCTATAATATTCATTTTTTCTAACCGAGAGGCAAAAGACTTAAAATTACGATATATGACACTTGACCCGACCTGTTTTAAATCGATATATACAAGATTCAGTCTTATTTTGATTATTATTTTTAAAATTCAGATATGTATTTATTTGTAATGCAAATGTAAATTCTAATCCAATTTTTTTCTTTTCTAGTTCGATTCGTATCAAACTTCCGTTATCATAATATACATCAAAAAAGTAAACATATACTAATTGTGTTAAAATGAGTTTACTTTCGAATCTAGGTTTTTAATTCGGTTCGTTTTGAATCGATTTATTTAATCCGTGTTAAATTTTCATAGTAAAATCTTTCTCTCACGAGAAAATTTTGTAATCCGTCGAATTGAGAAGATCTAGAAATTAAAGTTACGTCTATAGAATTTTTTACGGTCTATGTTAAACCGAATATACAAGAATTTCATTACGTTTACTATCTTTTTCAAATTTAAATATGTTCTTATTTTAATGAAACGAACATTTCTAATCGAAATATTTTTCTCATTTTGTTTGATTCGAATCTAGTTTCCGTTTCTTCGGATATAGAAAAAGATAAAACCTTATAACAAGATCGACTTCATTTCTCGAATCAGAATTTTGATTCGGGTTATATTAGATCATCTAGGTTTGTTTGAGATCAATTCACAAAATTCGAATTAACCTTCTCCATAAAATCACCATATCATATATTAGAGAAGAAAGAAGCAATGCAAGTAGATTCACACCATATAAGTGTGGCTATAGTACTCTTTGCCGAGTTCATAGAGAGTCTTATCACAAAATTGTTGGTCAATTCTGTAAAAAAGTAAATAATAAGAGGGTCATATTAAAAAACTCTTAAGATAAATATAAATTTTAAGCCGCAATGGAAAAATCTGAAACGCAACTGGTGTGAGTGATTCTAGCGTTTTCTCTCGTCGCATCTTCTTTCTTCATCTTTGACCCTAAAACTCTGCAAATCTGCTTCATAGTTTCTCGAGTTTTCAGGTCTTCTCTTGTTGCTCTTCGCTTCGCATTAGATATCGATTGATTTACTGATTACAGATTTTCGACATTGTCTTTAGGTTTAATCGATTTTGATGTTGTTGCTAATCCCGTAGGAATCAGGTGCGTTTCGAATCGAAATTTTTGAGAGGTTTTAAGTTTGTGAGATTTCTAGGGTTTTTAGATGAATCTAGGTTTCGATTTCGCTATTTACGCTTGGATTTTGTTGGATTGTTCTACATTTCTTGGGGTTTTCGAATTTTCGGTGAAAAAAATTCTAAACCACACACATTGTAGCCATTTTTAAGCTTTGTTTCTCTATGCTTCTGAGAATTATGAAGATTTTTGATAGCGTAATAGAGATAATTTCTTAGTGACGCATGATTGAGAGCTGTTTCTAGGTCTCTAATGTAGATTTCTCTTTTTGCTGTTTTACTCGGTAGCTTGAAAGCTTTTTGGGAAGTTCTATGTTTGAGTTTCATAACACCAACAGCTTCTTAGTGTAGGGAATGTTGTGTTAACCTTTAGCTATTCTCTGTTCGTTTTTGTTTATCTCCTCAAGCTGCTGAATCCAGTAAGTCTTGAACTTTGGGTCTTATTTTGTTTAGTTTGACAAATTTTCCTTGAGTTCTTAGCTTGTTATATAGTTTCTGGTTGTTTCACCTCTGGTTTGTGGATTTCCAATTGGAGTTAATGGGTTTTTTGTTCTTGTAGCATAGGCTTGAGCTTGGTGTCTCTGGTTTGCATGTTAATTTCTATGTGTTGGTGGAAATCACTATTTGCACGGATTTTTGGTAGCTAGGCTGCATGTGTGTAGAAGATGATTGCAGAATAACCATTGACATTTGTGATGCGTTTATATGAATCTCACATATGTTAACACCTCCGTATCTACCTTTTTTTTTGTTTTAGCCAGAGAAGTAGCCATCTTTGAAGCAAAACATAGCCCAAACGCTGGGGAATCGCTCAAATCTCGGAGGATTTCTTCAGCATTGAGACTTTGGTCATTAGAAAAATTGAATGATACGGATACACGACAGGCATGGAGTGCAACAAAGACGAGGCGGCAAGGGCGAAAGAAATTGCAGAGAACAAGTTCAAAATGAAAGACATTGCTGGGGCCAAAAAATTTGCCTTGAAAGCTCAAAATCTGTATCCAGAGATAGAAGGTGTTTCTCAGATGTTAGCAACCTTGGATGTGTATATTGCTGCAGAAAACAAAGTAAACGAGGATGTAGACTGGTATGGAATACTCAATGCAAGTCCGCGCGATGATGATGAAACGTTGAAGAGAAAGTACAGGAAGCTTGCTCTAATGCTCCACCCCGATAAAAACAAGTCTGTAGGAGCTGAAGGAGCATTCAAACATGTTTCTGAAGCTTGGAAATTCTTGTCAGATAAGGAAAAGAGAGCAGCTTATGATCGTAGGAAAAGTTTGCACTCAGTTTATCAGAAGGTCACAGTTTCATCTTCTAATAACGGTTTCTGCAATTTCGCCAAGACTACTTTCACTACAAATGCGAGGACGACGACCCAGAGGAACAATCCGCCAGCCCAGAAGAACAATCCGCCGGCCCAGAAGAACAATCCGCCGACCCAGAAGAACAATCCGCCGACCCAGAAGAACAATCCGCAAAAGCCAGTTGGTAATACACAGAAAACTGGACAGACGGAACATCAAACAACAAGACCAAGTTCATTTGCTGCATCTGCATCATCAGACCAATCAAAGTCGAATACTTTCTGGACAGTCTGCAGGAGATGCATGATGCAGTACGAGTATCTAAGATTTTATGTCAACTGTAACCTTCGGTGTCCTAATTGTCTACAGTCGTATTTGGCAGTAGAAGTCCCTAAACCAGGTATATCAAGCCGTTGGAGTAGTTTCAGCCGTCTAAAGCGAAACCTGGATCCCAAGTCAGCTGCAAACCACAACACTACCTCAGGTTTATATAATAACTCCAAGTGGACATTCTCAAGAACCAGCAGTGCAGCTCATGCTGCTAGTGTGGTTCAACAGGCTTATGAGAAGGTCAAGAAAGAACGTGAGCAGGCGAAAGCAACCGCGAGAAGAGAAAAGAAGAACGCCAAAAGGAAGAGCACAACTGATTCGTCTGCTTCTGGTAGTTTGCTTAAAAAGAGGAAAGTTCGTGGAGAAAATGATGTCAGTTGCTCTGGTGGAAGAAAGGTCACTTACTGTGTGACTGGTGAAACCGGAAAAAACATGGGAAAGGTAGAACATGGAACCAAAGAGAGAGCGGACAAGTTCTCTCCTAGAAGAACCCAGAGAAATATTAGCAAGGAGGATGTAACAAGAGAGGTAAAGTCGCGTTAGCATTTTGATGAGATTTGAGTTATGCAGGCATAATTGTGATTGATGGATTCTCCAGGCTATAACCTGTCACTAGGATATATTTTGTAAGTTGGGTCATTCGGTAATCTTTGGGTTCTAACATTAATAGAGAAGACGAGTCTTTTTGGGCAGAGGACACAAACCGATTTCCAAAAATTTTAAAACAGACTTAGTGTTGTGTCAATTGGTGTGTTGTAGCAACAATGACTTGGTTTCATGACTCTTTAAGTAAATGCTCTGTTTCAGTGCTCTAATAGATTTGCTTCACTTTCTCCAATAATGAGTTGCTTTGAGGAATCAGGAGTATTCAGTCAAGTCTAGCACGGGCAAGTCAACTAAGATGCAGCTTGTTCTGCATCTGGTTAACCTTCATGCTCCCGATATTAGACGAGGGCGTTCTGAAATACATAATAGCATCTGCGCCATCCGCGACCTCGACAAAGGACAAGAAAGACTGTCTCACGGATCGAATGCTCAAGTTTCTCCGAACTCTTCCCACCGGCGGAAGAAAGAGACGAGCCTACTACCCGAGGTTTAGTGAATGCTCAAGTCTACAACCAGTTTCTCTATTCGTTTTAATCAACTGTCGCACAAAACTTGTCCTTTTAAAAGCAATCAAAACGATGAATTTTGATTTCTGTTATCAATTTACATTGGTACAGAGTACGATTAGAGAGGTTCTACTGCATTTTTGTGAAGAGTAGATATGAAAAAATAGAAACTTCAGAAATTGTTTTTGCAATTTTGGTTTTTCGTCGGATTCTTGTTGAGATCCATATATATGTACTTACTACACGAAAAAGTATGAAATTTAAATATTTTAATATTTGGGTAAAATGTAAAAATAAGTGAAAATATGAGGGCATATGTGAAAGTTTCCCAAATTAAATATGAAAGCAGCTGCTATCGAAAAAGTCTGATACGAACGAGATCGCCGTTTCTAGGGCTCTTTGGTTTCCCTCTACCTCTCGAGCTTGAATCCTGTAATCGCCAACACAGTTCGCAAAATTTCAGGTTTCTCTCTTTCACTCCTTACGATTTTTATAATCCTCTCGATAATTAAGTTCGATTGCTTATAGGACTTGTTTTTAAACCGGCTGATACACAGATTCGACTTTGTTTCTAGCTTAATCGATTCGATTTTGCCAGTTCCTTCAGAAATTGACATCGAATTTCACTTTTTCTTATCTGGGATTGACGAAATTTAGTTCCTTTACGGTTTAATTTTGAGATTGATCCCGTCGATTTTTTTTCGCGATTTCTAGGGTTTGGTATGAAATTGAGGATCTTTATTCGGTGATTAATACTTGGTTTAGTTGGGTTTTTGTTTCTGTATCTATGGGGACAAAGTTTCAAGCTTTAGCTTGTTGTAATTCCTTATGTGTTGAATTTCTGTTTCAGGTGTTTTGGGCTCGTAGGCTTTTTTTTCAGTATCTCTCTCAGCATTTTCCGATTTCATAAAACATGGCGGAGATACAGACGAATGGAAGGGCGTACGAGTCATTATTGGAAAAGGTTCTTTCAATGAACATTCTTTCTTCTGACTATTTCAAAGAGCTATATGGTTTAAAGACTTATCATGAGGTTATTGATGAAATCTACAACCAAGTTAATCATGTGGAGCCGTGGATGGGTGGAAACTGCCGTGGTCCTTCGACAGCGTATTGTCTTCTCTACAAATTCTTTACCATGAAACTTACTGTGAAGCAGATGCATGGGTTGTTGAAGCACACAGATTCTCCTTATATTAGAGCGGTGAGTGAATCTCTTAACGATCTTTTTTGCATTATTGACCTAGAAGAGCTTTATGTAGGATGGAATCATATGGATACCTTATAAAGTATGAGCTACGGTGATGCTATACCCTTGTCTTTTTGGTTTTCGTTGTGGAATCTAGAAATATGTCTCTCCATCTTCTGGCTTCTTCTTGATTTTCAGTAACATTTAGAAATCTAACATTGTGTGCTGCTTGTTCCAATACATGTTCCTTGTTATCAGCTGAGTTGTTTCTTATTAGTCAATTTTAACCCGGAAAAGGTAGGTGTTTCCTTTGTTTGACAAATAATTATAGAGCCTCTTACAGTCAGGTAATAGCATTCCTTACCTCTGGGTTCCATCTAAAACAATTCCTTTCTCATCCCGTATTGAAGGTATGAGCGTGCACATAATTTTTCTCCTGTTTTCATAGCAGATTTTCACAACCACAAACAAAGTTGGGATGTCATTCTTTCTTTGAGTTGCGGAGAGTTTCTCCCACCAAAATATATAAGACCTTTCTTTGCTAGGAGTATCCGCATATCAAGGTTTGAGGTGTCTTTTCTATTTTAGCTACTATATCTCTCTAGGACCACCTCTCTGCCCATTTACCAGTATAGAACGTAGCTATTGACAAATAATCTGTATGATACTTTGCTCTTGGTTGGGCACCGGTGTTCCAGTTAAAGTTCTAGGATATATGTGAAGATTTTTCTTTTGAATGAGATAGCATTTACATGCTTCCTTGGTTTATGTGAAGTTATGCTAGTCTTGCATTTTATAACAGTGTTTCTCTTGCTACTTTGTTTTGCTTTGCATTTTTTCTTGTTATAACAACTTGTCTGATCTTTTTTACTTGTCCATTGCTTATGATCTGACAACAGGGATCTAAATGTGCAGGTTGGATTCCTATATTTAAGATATGTTGCAGATGCAAAGACGTTGTGGACATGGTATGAACCATACATTAAAGATGATGAGGTAAGCAGTTTTAATCATGTTCTGAGAGTACCATACAATTATGGATGACATTTTGCTATGCAATTGCCTATTTGTGCATCTGGGTTCATTAAAGTTGCTATGTTAGTTTAGCATTGTGCGTTTCTTTTGTTCCTTAAAATGTTTATTTTTAATGGAGAAGCTCTTGTTAGTATTCTTAATTTCTTACTGAGATAATCACACAATAAAATTTTGAACAATAGAATAGAGTAAGTCGCTGACCGCAATGGCTACAATTGTACTGGATCTTATCTTTTAGGCTCTTTGGGTGTACTACTGTCTTGGATATATGTTATCATAAATTCATAGTACACACTCCGACTTCTTTGAACATGGCTCTATACTGGTATACAGCTTAACGTGAATATTTATGTATTTTGCCTTCAGGAGTTTTCACCTGGATCAAATGGACGGATGACGACAATGGGTGTTTATGTACGTGATCTGCTGCTTGGACTGGTGAGTCAAATGTTGTTATATTACATGTTCAAATTTTTCTGTTTTCTGTGTAATTATTATTCTCCCATGGAAAACGTGTATTTTGGCTGGGCAGACTTGGATGCATCTGGTCTAAAAATATATTTTACGATACTGGGAATTTGAAAGTGATAGTAAGACAAGAACTTTGATTTGTCGGTAAGATGCTGTGTGGTGATTTATAAATCGTGGACTTTATTGGGCTGTGTTGTTATTTGTTTTGTCAGGAAAGTACAAACACTCTTGTAATGGCATAGTTGCTTGTTTAAAATTGTGCTTAGTTACCATTTGATAACAGTCTTTGATAGGTGTTGTAGTGTGAACATGTCATTAGATTGGTATACTGCTACCTTTACTGCTAAGCTGATCCTAAGCTATGTTTTTGAAGAGCGTTTGGTGATTATCTGCTAGAAGAATTTACTTCATTTTCGCATTTAAGCGAAGTGGTAGATTTAAATAAACATTCACTAGCATTTGACCGTAAAGGTGTTATAATAGTCATTTATCTATGCACAGTTTTAAGCAATATGATACTTTAACGTCTCCACGATGCCAATACCTGAATCTGACGTTGTTTTTTTTTATTTGCAGTACTACTTTGATACTTTGTTTCCTCGTATACCTGTTCCCGTGATGCGCCAGATTGTATCAAACCTTGAGAAGATGAATTTACCAACTAAACCTTCTGGATCAACCGGAGACATGACCCGTGGCTCAGAAGACACTGCCCGTCGTCCACCATCAGTAAAAGCATCCCTCTCTGTATCATTTGGTCAGCGTGCACCTCATCGTGCTTCCACCAGAGGCTCCTCTCCGGTTCGCCGTCCTCCACCGTCTGGTTATGACAGAAATGGAGGCGATGAAGTAAAACAGCGGTCCCCACGTAGAAGCCAGAGCCGAGACTATTATTCCGATAGAGACTCAGATAGACAGCGGGAGAGAGAGAGGGAGAAAGACCGCGAAAGGGACAGAGACAGAGACAGAGACAGAGACAGAGACAGGGAGAGGGAGAGAGATAGATACAGAGAAAGAGAAAGGGATTATGGTAATGATAGGAGATCAAGGCGTGACTATGATAGTAGAAGCAGACGCAATGATTACGAGGATGATAGAAGCAGACATGACCGGAGAAGCAGGAGCAGAAGCAGAAGTAGGAGCCGGAGTGTGCAGATTGAGCGTGAACCAACTCCTAGCAACAAGGAGAAATCTGCTGTGACTGTGAACAGCAATCTCGCAAAGCTAAAAGATTTGTATGGAGACGCTAGTAGTCAGAAAAGGGATGAAGGATTTGGAACAAGGAGAGATTCAAGTTCAGAAGAAGTGATAAAGCTTGGTGGTTCTTCTTGGAGGTGAAAAAACAAAAACTGTGGATTTAAAATGCTTCTTCTATTTAGTAGGATGATGCATGTTGTTTAACTATACTGTTTTGATTTCCAGCAAGCTATTTGTTATATGCTTTGATATTACAGTTTTAGAATTGATCTTTATCTTGAATTTGTTTACACTATGTGTTGGGTTTTAACTTTCTTACATATTTTGTGTGTTTCTCAGTCCACATTTAGAGTCAACTCTTCCCATGGATTTGGGTGGAGACTGGTCGAAGATGATCGTCAGTATAAAAAGTGGTATTTACATGGTTAAGGCCTGTGACTATTAACCGACCAAGATTTCCAAACCGAACCGGTTTTTGGTCATCTCGGTTTGGACTCGGTTATTGGTTTGAACCGAACGGCAAGTTGGAAAATAGAGATCGGTTACTCGAGATTTTTGGTTCGGTTGAAATGAAACCAAACGAAGCCGCCGTCAACGTAAAAGCTTTCTGGTTTTACTGAAGAAGAATGAAACGTGTCGTTCATTGTATTGTTACTGGGCTTGACCCAACGTTTCTGGGCTTGGCCCAACGTTTTCCTTTTTCTTTTGAAGCAGTCTATTTAACTAAAACAGAAAATGTTTGGGCCCATGAGCCCACTAACTTAAGAAAATCAAACCAAATTAAACCGATTTCAACCGAAATCATACATATGGTTTCACTCTCCCATGGGCCATGGTCCATTTGGCAATATATATATTTTTAAGAAATTATTTTCAATTAAACCATCAATAAAAGACATTTAATTTACAATTTAATATAAAACTGAAATCATATAAATTATGCATTAAATATATTCTTCACTCAATTTTATTCAACACACAATAAATTAGAATTGTAACTCATATATTTATTTTTATAAATTGTAACTTCTATCACTTCTCATCCTATAAATACTCATTTTCTCATTTTTCATTCTCTCATCATCATCCACTATATCTCAAAAAAAAATTTAATTGTTTTGTGTTTTTTTATTTATTTAGGTTGTGGTTGTTGTTGTATGGGTTAAAAAACTTAAATTAAATATCATTGTAAAATCTTAAATTCTATATTTTAATTAATACATTAGTTTTTATTTTTATTTTTTTAAAGATTCATCTCTATTTTCTATTTTAGATTATCGTCTTATAAGTAATCATTCCTTATCCTCTTCTACTATATTCATGTATCTATTTTTTTAATTATATGGGTTGAAATCAATTAAAACATCATTGTAAGATTTTAATTATAAAATTTTTCTCAATTTTTTTAGTTACATCATACTAGATTACACATATTTCTTCTTTAATTATAATATTTTTAATTTTTAATTAACATATATAAAATAAAAGTTTTGATGGCTATAACAAAATATTTAGGTTTGTTAGTGATGGAAAATTAAAAATATAAATTCTAATCATCGCACAACAAGGGAGTGAAGTTGAAAAGATCCATCTTCATTATTTACGTTGGATTGATTATTTTCTAACATATTCATGTATTTTTTAGTTATGTAATATATAATGAAATAAATTATTGTAATAAATTTATCAGATATTTTTTCCTTACCTCTTTCTTATTTCGAATAAATTTTTGTAATTCTTTTTAAATATAAATAACTATATTTATTTTTGTGATCCAATAAATAATTATATTAAGATTTATTATAGTTATTTATTTTATTTAAAATTTGAGGTTTACGTGTTTTTCAAAAACAAAACAAAATTTGTTAAACAAATTTGGTCCTTAAGATTAAAAAAAATATATGAAATCATATGTTTAATGAAAATTATATTTAGTTAGTAGAAAATTAGAATGAAACCTAACACTCATACTTAAATGGAGTGAAATATAGAAGAAAAAAAACTATAATAAAACAAAAAAAATTCTTAAATCCTATAAACATGAAACCATTGGTATGAAATCTAGCAATAGAATTTTAATTGATGAGACTTTTTTGTATATCAAAAAAAAAGAATTTTAATTGATGAGTAGAATTAAAAAACAAAAAACTTCTATCCTTGGGGGGTTCTTTTTTTTAAATAACTTTAGATTGAAGTTCATATGATTTTATTAGAAAACAAATTTAGTTTGCCACTTACAAAATAATATGAGTTTGAACTATTATGTGAGAGTTTATATCAACAAACAAATAAATTATTTGTGAGTTATATCAACAATTTATTTTGTAATATGAAATGTATTTACTAAAATATGAGCAAATGCAAGATATCAAATCGTAAGAGCCGTTTAAATTTCTTCTAATTATACTTATATGGAAACAAAATTATAGAAATTATTTTTGAAATGATACATTCTTATTCTTTAATATGGAGTTTTGATTATTTTTTACATATTCATGTATATATTTTCTAAAATTATGTGATCTTTTAATAAAATAAATTTTGTAAGAACAAACCTCTTATTTCTTACGTTTGTTTTAATATAATCATAGTAAATATATTTAGTTTTGTGATCTAAAATATAATTTTATAAATACAAGTATATCTATTTTTAAAAGGTTGTAGTTAAAATTATTATTTTTCCAACAAAATAAATTTACCAGAAAACAGTTATATAATTGGTAATCCGAATTAGTAGTAAAAAAAATAAAAACCTATCACTATAACTTATTTTTATATTTTCAAAACTTTTTTTATTATTTACACAAAACATAACAATTATGCAACAAGCCGCGAGTATCGCGGCTAAACAACCTAGTTTAATAAAAAAAACAAAAGTTTCGATGAAAATATAAATAAACCGAATATTTTTTTTCAGGTACTTTCGGTTAGATTTTTCAAAAACCGAAAAAACGAACCATTTTAACCAAATAAACCGGCATCCCTAGTTTGGTTTAAAGAATATTGAGAAATGAGATAAAGAAAGAAAGAGAGTTGCTTCTTCTACTCTCCATCAGGGCTCGGCATCTCGCCTCCATACACCCTCGGCTTTAGCTGCTGAAGCCTTGACTTTGAAATCAGCGCTGATCGCAGCGTCAAGAATGGAATTCACCCCCATTAATGTTTTTTCGGACTCTCAAGTTCTCATATCTCTGCTCAATACAAAGATCTCTAAAAATGAGCTTCAAGGGATTCTTCACGATATTGCATTCGTTAGCCGTTCCTTTCTATCTATCAAATTCTCTGTTGTTCCACGCAAGACTTAACCTCTTAGCTAATGCATTTGCTAAATCTGTTCTTGCTTATCTAATTGTACCTTCCTCTTAAGGCTTGCCTTTGATTTATAAAATATGTTTGCCCAAAATATATATATATATATATATATATCATATATAAACACTATATATTTTTCTTAACAGAAATTTATTTATCATTGTTGCCTGTTTATATAAAAGTAATAATCATGTATTCAAATATACACTTACAAAAAGAAAATATATTATACACCTTACTAAATGAGTAAAAATTATAATATTTTATACTCCTCTAATAATGTATATGTTTACCATTATTACTTTGATGAAAGAAATTATTTGTTTAACAAATAGGGTATGATGTCGAAAAAAAAAACAAATATGGTACAAAACAAAACTAAATATTTCGCAGCCAAAGAAGAAGAAATTCATCGAAATCAACAAACCCAACTTTTGAATCACAAATATTATTCAAAAGGTCAAGCTCTTGACAAAAGGGAAAAACAGAAACGAAATTCAAAGGATGGATATATCATGTTTTTAAAAAAATGCAAAACCCAAAAAAATATTCAGATTCAGATGTTTGCAATAATATAAAACAAGATGAAGTCATTGGAAACAGAACAAGAGATGTCGTACATCAACATGAAATGAAACGTCAAGGGATGAATATTTTTGCTACAATGAAAAATAACCTAACCAGAAGCATCAATAGTCTTTAGTACATCTATCAAGTACATTCATTCCTCAGTAGCAGCTACTACATTTGTGTCCTGAATCAAAGCTTATATAGCATCGATACTCAAAACCGATGTGGTTTGGTTACTTTTTATTGTAGCAAAAGTTGAAACGAAATTCGAGGGATGTATATATCATGTTTTGAAAAAGATACAAAACCCAAACAAAAATATTCAGATTCAGATGCTTGCAATATAAAACAAGATGAAGTCATTGGAAACAGAACAAAAGTGGTCGTACATCAACATGAAACACAAACCTAGAACCCACTAATTAGGTTTTGAAACAACCATGAGAAGATTAATTTACGGACAAAATTAACTGGAAAAGATACCGAAAAAAGAGTCCAAGCACATAGAGAGCCATTACATGCAACAAATAATCCTCCGTAAACCTAAACCCCAGGCACATAGAGAACCATTTCAATTTTAGAATTGATATTAATTTTGTTTAGATTTCGTGTTGTATTTTGTGTTTCTTACCTATTATGTATCTTTTTTTTTGTTGAAATTAACAAATTTATGTTATTCTCAACTAAAAATGGTAAATGTTATCAAGGAAATCGAATCTATAATAAAAAATCAACAAAAGAGACATATAAAGAAGATTAGTAATTAATTAATTTATCAATGTACCAAACCGGAACCGAAGCAAAAAGAACCAAACTAAACCAAACCGAAAATTTGAAAATAACCAAATGGATACTAAATTCTAGAACCGAAAGAACTGGAACCGAACCGAAATATTTTGGGTACCCGATATACAATTATATATAAAAAAAATTAGTTATTTATTAAATCAAATAATCAAAAATACTTATATATAAAATAGTAAAAATTCTCGAAAATAACCAAATAAAATCCGAAAATACACAAAAATAACCGAAATATCCGAAAGTATCCAAAGCAAAATACCCAAATGGATACTAAATTTTAAAACCGAAAAAACCGAAATCGAACCTAAATTTCAAAATACCTGAATGGATACTAAATTCTTAAACCGAAAGCACCGCAACCGAATAGAACCGAACCGATAACCGATTGGTTAACCGAACGCCCATGACTAATCTAAATATCATGAAAGACAAAATTCTGAAAATGATAAATTATTTATAAATAATGTTCCCCAAAAATTCGCAAACTTGAAAAATCGAAGACCAGACAAATGGCGTAAGTACATTTTACACACAGAGAGACAAACAAAACACAGATATGGAAGCAATGAAAAAGACAAATCTTTAGCGAAACGGTGATGCCTCAAGAAACAGCTTCGATTCCGACATTCATCTTCTAAAACATCTTTCGATTGTTATCTGATTTTGTCAAACACATAAACAAATTGAGAGACTCACAAACTCTGATTTTGATTAGCACCAATTTCTAGGGTTTAGAGATTCTGTGATTAATTCTGCTTGCTGGGTTTTGTTTGGGTTTCTAGGAATAACTGAAAGATGGCTTCTTCTTCTTTTTCTCTTAGTCTCCTTCAACCTCTCCACAGTCTCTCTTCTTCCACTCTCTTCTTTTCTCAGCCAAGTTTTCATTTTTCATCATCCCTTAAACCTCACAAGTCCAAAAGGCTCAATCTTTCGAAATCCTTGACTCTCCGATTTGCTCTTACGGAATCAGATTCTACTAAACCTTTAGAAACAGAACCAAGTTCTAAATCCCTTCTTCTACAACTCTCTGTAAGTCAAAAATCTGTTTTTGATTATGGTTTGAGTTCTTGTGCTTAATGGTTTCTGAATTGTGTGTGTTGCAGAAGTGTTTTGATCTTCCATCAGATTACTTTCAGCAACTACCAAATGACCTTCGTCTCGATGTAAGTAAGCCCTCAATGCTTAAAAACTTGATTTTTTGTTGATTTTGGGCAAGGCATGTTTATGTGGTGAGTTTTGGTTTTCTTTAGTTGAATGATGCTGCTTTTGATCTCTCCAATGGACCCGTCATCGATGAGGTTAGTTCCATAACTGCTAAGTAATCACTCTCATTTACCGCCACATGAACACCATAACCACAAGTTTTGTGAACTTATTCATTGTTAGAGGCTAGGATTGTTGTAGTACTGAGTTCAAGAACAGCTATTTCATCTGTGGGATCTTTTATGTGACATTCATGTGTATGATCTTCCTTCATTGTAGCCTCAACCTTATCGTAAACCACTATCATCTGTAATGCAATTCTACATTCCTACATTTGTGCCAGCATAAAACCTTAGGAAATGAGTTGAAAAAGAGCTTTTTGTGCTTGGCTGTTATAAAGTAGTTAAGTGCTTAATAGCATTCTATGCTATTATGTGTATATACCTGTGTGTAGCCCGGCATTTATCCTTTATCTGGGGTATAGTATAGTATTCTCATTATGCTTTACGGTATCGAAGTGGCTGTAATATATTATTATGTCTAAATGATCTCAAATTTCAAGTTTCTGAATTAGCTAATTTTCTAAACTGTTTGGAATTAGCTACTTGTGATTATTTTCATCCCTATTGTTGCATAAGCTGTTTCTTTTCCTTATTCATCTTTGGTATTAATAAGATTTATGTTAGGAATGTCTTCAAGTATGTGTTTACGCTTTACTGGATTTACTAGCAACTAATGATAGATATTTGCAGAAGAAATAGTAGATGCTCCATTATTTTGATATCTGAGCTAAATACATAATTTTGTATTACTTTAGCCTCTAGGACCCTAATCATAACACTGACCTTCACTTTTAGACAGTTATATGTAACGTGTGAGTAGTGAAACATACAGCTCATACAATTATTTTTTATATCCGCAGACAGACACCTTCCTGTAATCTTGTTTCACAGTTATATGATAGGGTCATTTGCATTTAAACATTATGGAATCTTTCAAATAGTCTAAACTTCATTGTTCTAGTCCAGCAACGGTCATTTTCTTTTCTTCCCGCTAATAACTTCCTACACGCCTTTGTCGATATTTTCCTCTGGGAATCCATCCCAAATTAATTTTTTTCCTTTTATGGATTTTCTTTCTTCTTCATAGACTAGTCACTGTGCTACTTAAGGTACCTTGGATCTTTTCTTCTATCACCGCTTTCATCTGTGGCTTCATATTTCTGTTCAGATAATCTCTACTCATTGAACTTCTCAGAAGATCTCTTGGCAACTTTTTGAAGAATGTGTCACAAATTTTGACTTAGCTTCCTTGTTCCTGTTTCTCAGAACTTGATTTGTCTTCTTTGCCGTTGGCTTTATGCCCTGGATTTGGTTAGAGAGGAAGCAAGGATCTTCTTTCTTCTTCATAGACTAGTCACTGTGCTACTTAAGGTACCTTGGATCTTTTCTTCTATCACCGCTTTCATCTGTGGCTTCATATTTCTGTTCAGATAATCTCTACTCATTGAACTTCTCAGAAGATCTCTTGGCAACTTTTTGAAGAATGTGTCACAAATTTTGACTTAGCTTCCTTGTTCCTGTTTCTCAGAACTTGATTTGTCTTCTTTGCCGTTGGCTTTATGCCCTGGATTTGGTTAGAGAGGAAGCAAGGATCTTCAATCTTTGTAGTGTTTCATACAAGCTAACCTCCTTGCCTTACTTTCTTAAACTTTGAGGGACTTATAAGTGCAACCTCTCAAATCTATTTGTAGTGTGGTCAAGAGCTTGGGGAGACCTTACTGAATCTGTCCCGTGCTTGGGAACAAGCTGACACATCAACTTCTCGTAGTTTAGTGGAGAAACTTCCCGAACTGGAAAGTTCATTAACAGATGGTGCCAAATCAGGTAATAATAAGTAGCCACTATAGTATCTAGCTACACATCTTTTTAGATTTACTCTCTTGTAATCATACTCGTTTTTACCTTTTTTTGTTCAGCCTTTGGGAAGCGTTTGATATCTGCAGGAAAAAGGTTCCAGGGCATGGGACAATATGGTAAAGGTGAATTACAGAAGGTATTTGAATCTCAAATGACTACTGACTCTTTGATTATGTCTACTGAGTAAAAATGTAAATGTAAGTGACAGTTAATCGCAATCGCTTGCATACTTAATGGCCAGAATGATAAAATCAATTGTTTGTTTGTATAATCATTCATGCATATAAGAACTAACGTTGCTGAGAACTCGCAGATTGCTAAAGCGATGATCACAACTGGAGGGGTCCTATCTGCAAATACATCATCTGTTTCAGTCAGTAATGAATCTATGTCAGGAACAAGGATGTTTAAGGTAAAGCATAATATCTGGTTTCTCTTGTACGTTTGCTGAAGCTACTTTGCAGATATTAATTTTATGTTTGAACTGCAGTTTGGGGAGCTTCAGGTTGCTGTGAGTCCACAGAAAGCCTACGCCGGAGCTGCCATTGCATTCATCTATGGGTATTTGTGGAAACTTGTTTCTTACTTTTGAGAATTGTGTATCACATTCTTAAGAACAACAATAAAAAACAGTTCATACTTGGATCAAACAGGATACTTTCGTGGCAAATCAGTCAAGGGATCCAAAGCATACCAGAGAACTCATTGCAGTATGCAAATGACAACGCATTGCTAATCGGAAAGGTTAGTGGATCAAGCATTCTACTCTTTATTCTTTAACGCTCATCATATTGTGGAAGTCGAGGATACTGCTTCGTGATGCTTCGGGGGTTTGTTAATTGACATTTTGTCGTTGTTTTTGTTCTTCTGGGCAGTCTTTAAGAGGGTCTCTTCTAGCTCTGTTTTATGCGTCAACCGTCTTGTCAGGCTTCACAACAGTTGGGCTTATCCTACTCGCTAAGCAGCTTTCATCAGAAAAAGAGTGAATTAATAATCCTTCAGAGGTGGTCTCTATTACTCTCATGTGTATAGTGCCAAATATTGGATATATAATAGTAAGATTTACTACTTTTTCTGTCTCTATGCGTTAAACTATGGAATGTGTTGACTGTTGAGTGTATATTCTTATAGAGAAAACGAAATATCTTTGTTACGAATAATTGAAGTTTCTCAAGCAATGAGAGAGTTTGATGTTTGATGCATTTCAGGAATACATGCAAAATGTTCATCTATTGTTTGGTAAATATTTGTACGTTGTTCAGTGCTTTTATACGTTGTTCACTAACCGGTGAGTCTAGCAAACGGCATGGAAGCAGTCGTCGCAGCAGAAGTCAGCGTTGGCAGCCTTCACCGATCTAATATAGCCTTCGCCGAAGTAGAAGAACTCTGCAATCAGGCACTCTGCCGCATACACAACTATCAGCACGCCACCGCCCTACATTACAACAAGAAGATTCACCCGCGTTTTTCGATGAAGGTGACCTTGTCCTTCGCAAAGTCTTTGAAAACACCGCTGAACTCAACACCATAAAATTAGGAGCGAAGTGAGAAGGACCCTAGGAGATCTCAAAGATCGTCAAATCGGGTGTTTACGTGCTGATGACAATATCAGGCATCAAGGTACCACATTCTCGGAATGCGAACAACCTGTAATTTAGGTTTCACAGTTTCTAGTAACAGTTAGAACCATTTAAAGAAAAACTTCAGATCCAACAAATAGTGTTATATACAGAATATCACAATTCTTCTACAGTTACAAATTTGATCATTTAGTTTGAATAGTTTCAATATCATCAACTTTTTAATAATATATTTATATCTTATAATTCAAAGATTTAAGTGAATGATTAAATGTATTAAACTGTTTTTAATAAAATTAGTTTGTATATAATTTAAAAAACTAAGCTTTGATTCTACGACTGAAAAAAAAACAAAAAGAAAATGTTGTACCTTGTTAATTTGGAAAATTAAAAAAATATGTTAGTCAAATAAAATCATGTAATTTAATGCATGAAGTTTGACTAAATGAAAAAATTAACAAAATTTAATATTATGAAATTACCTACCAATTTTAGATATTTTTGCTTTAAACTACCAACAAAATCTTTAATATTACTATAATAAAAAATAAATAAATTATTTTAAGACTATTCATAATTATTTAACTTTTTATATCTTATGTTTTGATATTTATTAAAATATAATTTTAAAGTGGATTTTAACAACATTTTCCTATGTTTAGTAAACAAATAAAATCATTCCTTCAAATTTCTTTTTAATTTAAATTAAATTTGATTCATGCACTTACCCTATATATATAGAAATCTAGAAAGAAAAAGGTTTAATTTTGGTATGTAATCTGTATGAAATCTGATTCATGCACATGATAAGACTCCCAATTATAAAAGTTCAGTAAATATAATTGTTATTTATTTAAATAAAATTTTAGGTGTTTTAATTGATTAATTCAAATCAAAAATACTTTTTAACTCATTAAAATTTGTGGTTTCACTCTATATATACCCTTGTTCTCTGAGGGGATTTTTAAAGAGTTACAAACAAACATATAGACCACCAAAGCTACAAAGAAGACAAAGGTATGTGAGTTTTTATATGTTGATTTGAAAAGATTTATTTTGGTATGATGATTCAACCTCAGATTTTTATAAATCTAGATTGACTCACACTTATATTTTTGTCTTCAAATTCTGGATTAGGTTTTTTTAAAATGTTTTCACACGCTTTTTTTCTCAGATTCATTTAGACACTTGCATGTTTTCTTATAGTTCCTATAACAAACAGATCCATGAGACACCATCATGATGATATTTAGTATTCAAATCTTCTTACCCATCAACTATCAAAACTGAAAACGAATAACTCAAAGATTATGATAACAAAACTTTTTTTTTTGTTAAAGACTTCTATATAAAATTGAAATATTATCTTACCATATAAATATTAAATACCTAATAATATTTATACTCTTAGATGAAAACACAATTCTCGATATATAAATTTGTGCATAGAAAAACTGTCATATTCAAATATTGTTTTTTGTTATCATTTAAATATTAAATACCTAATTATCATATAATATTCATATTTTAAAAAATTCTCAACAACTAAATTTTTGCATAGAAAAATATCATATTTAAATAATTGGTTGGATTTCAGTTTGTTAATAATATGATTCATCAATTGTGGAATTAATAGAGTCTATATCCGTGTGAGCGTAAGAAAATGTCTACTATGGTGAAATCTGGAGAAGCTAAGTTAGAGAGAGATGCTAACCAAGTGCTTGTTGGGCAAGTCAAGCTTTCTAATGGTTTTGAGGATCAAAAATCTTCTCCTCTTCCCAATGAAGAGACAAAGGATGAAGCCTCTCGTGGTGAAACTAGTGGTGAAAAACCAGGTAATTTAATTAGTTATCTTTTAATCGAAATCGAAGAATGATAATACAAATGATCGAGTAGTGTAATGTATACTAGAAGATATTGCAATTTCTCCTAAGAGGAAGGCAAAATTCACTACAAAATCTAACTTCTTTTGATTATAATTGGATAGGCAAGGAAAAAGGAGTGGTAAAAGATACACTACAAGATAGAATTTCTTCTGTAGCTATTAAAAAAAGAAACACTCCAATATGGTTTAGATTGGTGGCTTCTAATCAAGAGTAAGACTTTATTAGTCCTCAATTTTATCTTTGTTCTCTTCTTTCTCTTGTCTTGCCTAAAATTTATATCTTAGATTATAACATAATTTGTTTGTTTTCTAGTAATACAATTGCACCACTGCAACAAATAGCATCGTCTTCCATAAGGGTTAAGTACGTTCGATTTTCCATCTATTTATAATTAAATATTATAGTACTTTCAATAATGATAAAATATTTTATGATTCTTTTACTTGTTCATACTCATCACAGAAACAGTAATATGCAACTTTCATTTATCAAGAAATACCTTGTAAAGAAACTCGATCTTAAAAGCGAAAATGAGGTAACCTTTTCTTCTTCTTCTTCTTTCTTAATCTTTGTGTTTATTTTGATAGAAAGATTTATTTTACATATTTGGTGTTTTATGGATTTCAGGTAGAGTTATACCTAGAAAATGAACCTCTAGATTCATCCATTATGTTGCCTGACTTGTGGCAGTATTGGATCTCTACAAAGAAAGATGTTGATGTAAAGAATGTGAAGGTGGGATCTTCAGGCGCTGATTACATCATGCCCATCAACTATGGCCGCAAATCTGGAAATGTGATTTAATCTTCTTAAGGTTATTTATAGCACAAGTTATCTTGTAGCTTTTTTATCCCTTTTCATGTTATGAAATTCTATTTCAGTTATTAAATAAGTATGCATCTGCTCTACTTTCACATTTGGAAAGTATATTTTGCTGATGTAATAAGGCCTAAATGTCCTTGAAGAATTTGTTTTTCTTTTGTTTTTTTCAATTCGGTTTTATTATATAACTAGTTTGCTAACGCCTAATTATATATATATAGATTTTTAATTGAACTTGGTTTCCTTGAGTTGGATTAGTTTAAATATTTGTTTAGTTTATTTGCTTATAGAAACTAATATGTCAGCAAAAGATTACATCTATTAATTTAATTATGACTTCTAAAATTTGGTTTCTAAAAAAGATTTAGAGTGCGTTTGTAAAAATAATGTTTAATACACATATTCATTTTTGAATTGATTACATCATAATATATAATTTGTTGTTCATGTTATGCATGTGAGATTTAAAGTTCATATCATGATATATTGTTTCTTTTTTTTGATACATTTTATTTTATTTTTTAAATAGAAAAATATTTTATCTCCGACATTTAGGTGACTACAAAAAAAATTTCAAGGAACAAATATTTTCCAAGTGATTTTAATATTAGTTGCTTTTTTATAAAACAATATAAGATTATTCATTGTTTTTTTTTTGGATGTTAAATATCCAAATTTTCTATCATGTAAACAAATGAAAAATTAAATAACAATTTATTAAAATTTTGTCTGTTGTTTAAATAAATTATAGAGTTATAAATTTCTTATTTAAAGAATAGTAATTTTTTTGTACTTTTTTCTTAACTACACTCTGAAGTTACTATTTTCAATCAAAATGCTTGTTATCTTTTGAAATACATCATTCATACTACTAATAACGCTTTTATCCATTTTTAGTATCACTTTGATGTGTTTCCAACTAGAGTTTAATGCAATCTTAGAAAAATTTCAAGCAACTATATATGGTTTCAAAACCCTTCTTAGGTTATCTAGAGAAGAAAATGATACAAAACGAAACAAAACAAGAATTCTGAATATATGACAACATATGTACGTTAGAAGTATGACATCAAATGAAGAACTTCCCACCTATGGATCTTCTTTATTTTTGGACACAAGATAGATGAGGATGTTAGCTTTCATTTTAAAATTATTTGAAGAAAATTGACAATTCAAACACAAGATATGGCCATTCTACTGAAGACATGTCTATCATACGATCAAGTAAAGCAAGCACCAGAAGGAAAGATTGGTCGGACCAAGAAAATGATCAACCAAGATAATGGTGCATGATCGATCTGCTTGAAGAATCGACAAAACCCTATAATGCCCGATCGAACCAAAATGAAGATTGACGAATCCATATAGTGCATGATCGATCTCCTCTAGAGATTGGGCGAATTCCCCCTCATAAAAGCTTTTGAGATATTCCCAATTTGGTGTCGATTCATATCTATCTTGCATTAAACAAACCTCAGATACATATATAAGGAAATCCACGACCCTGCACAACATACACCTGAATTCTCATACCCTTCAGATGTGCTCTACGCCTTCTTGCTTTGACTTTACGCAGTTGCCATTTCGTCTTTCTAAATTCTAAGAGAATATTTTATCGTTAGTGACACAAAAGAAGTAATATCTAACCTCTTTCTATATACTGTGTTCATTCACCATGTCTCTTGCATCATTATCACTCATAGTTACTTTAGATATGTCTGAGTAATTCCATTATTGTGTTGAAAGGGTGACTTGAAGGGGATCTCAAAGATTATTTAAATTGGTTGGCAATTCTCTAGGGTTGAATTTTCTTTGCATGTTCTGCTCATTTTTTTTTTCTCATCATGTTCTGCTCATTTATAATGCATATAAATGATATCATGAATCATTTATTGTTCATAGGATTAATTTAGTCATCACAAGTGCGTTAGGTTTCCCGAGCTAATATTTGGCGAGATTCGCGTCTTAACCTATTAACGCTGAGTTAATGAGGTTAGTGAGTTTATCTAAATTCTAGAGTAATTTTTCACTAAACTTTTTTTTATTATATATATATTTGATAAGTTTGTATAATTATTAATTTATAATTTTAATGGGATCATATATTTATATAAGATTTATTTTTAAAATGTAATTTTATTATCTTATCGAATTGTGCTAATTATTACACTAAACCAAGTCGAAACCGGACATATTTATAAATTTGTAGTAATTACTAATTTATCAAGTATTTATATATAAATGTATGATGTACCTTTCTTTACCAGCAATAAAACGTATTATTGGTGCCGACAAGAGAGATGTAGGTTTTTTAATATAAAATGTTCGAATCTGGTCAAGATGGTGTCTTCTCATTCAGAATGCTAAAAGGGATATATCTTTTTATAAAAAAATTTAGGTCTTTTATGCTAAAAAAAAAAAAAGAATTAGAAGCTTTTTTTTAAAAACAAATTTGTTGGGCTTTCTTTTCATTATAATTTATGGGCTTTATACCTTAAAATTAATAAAATGTTAATTAATATGTTGTTAATGAATTTTATTAGTAAAATTTTGGCTAAAAAATAAAATAAAACCCTAAACGATTAGAAAAAAAATTCACCCACTGATTCAATTCATATTTTTTTTTCTGTGCGTTTGGTTGCTTGCAAGCTTGTTAAGATATATGAACTTTGCTTTGATTTGATTTAGTATGACTTTTATGTTAATCTTATTTGTGATGCTAGAAAAAAAAAAAATTACAGAGGACATGATTTGTTTTTAGTACCGTAGGGCATTTAGATATATCGGTCCAATGACTACGAAGAGGTTTTATGTATAATCGTAATGTTTTAAACATCAAACCAATTAACCAAACGTGTGACTTTTGAGTCGTTCGGGTTTCTTCAATTACTTAGCAAACCGGAAGCCAATTTCTGCTTCACCCTCCCCTTACTCATCTAAAACGTTAACGCAACCTAAATCCTTGATACGTTTCCGGAAAAGATCCCAAGAAAAATTCTCGATTGTCAAATCATCACCATGGACAAAGACTCCATCATAATCATTACAACCTCCCAATCTGCTTACAAATTCTTCTCCTTCGGGTGACGACGAAATCTCTTTGTTCATCAAGTTTCCACAGCTACATCTTGAAGTATCAAAAGTACTAATAAACTCTCTGCATGATTTGCTTTGCAAAGACATTGGACACATAAAGTACTTAGTTGGTTCTGTGTCGTCTATATTAATCTTCAGCATTCTGCATTGACGTTCCTTCATGCTCTTCGGGTAAACCAGCATCTGCTTACAAGCTTCGTTCCGGAAATTATTGATGCTCATGTCTACAACACTTTTGTAAAGGTTGTGATTCTCTTAATCTTCCGTGATTCTCAAGCAACCTCACAATGGTTCCCAAAGGCATGGTAAGAAAACTATAAAGCAAATCAACAAAATCATTACCAGATTGAATCCAGACAACCTTTTCTTGTCCAAATGATGTGCAAGAAGAACATTGATCATTCTTTTCTCGAATCTTTGATCCATTGGAGATTCTAGAAATAAAAACTTCACAAAATAATATGAGAGAAAATGAGTGCAGGATTAAAAAAAAAAAAACTTCACAAAACTTCACAAAAGAATATAGACTTAAATCTTTTGAGCTTCCCTGCAGATGGATAATTACAAGTCTCGAGGTGTGTAACCAATAATTACTATCGTTGGAAGTTGGGATTAGGAAGAAATCAAACGAGACTTTGTATTTTCCCACATAAACGCTAGATCCGGTTCTGCTTTCTTCAATTATATAGTGAACCGGTCTAAACCGGAATCGTACAGTTATTGTTTAGCGTTTAAGTATAATTAAATTAGAGCTTATGTTACCAATTCAACATGTACCTCAGTGGTTCGAAACGGTACCTTTGATGTCGAGGAGGTAATATAAATTACCTTTTTATAAATTGTATAGTTGATAGTCAATGACGCTCTCTCTAATAATTGTAAACGTTTTGCTAGGTTAAAGATTAGAAAGTTTCAAACTAAAAATTGTCTCCGCTCCTTTTATCTCTTTTCTCAAGCTCGAGTCTTCAAATGCCAAAAATCTTTCAGCTTCTTCTTCTACTCGAAACCATTTACCAAGAAGGAAAGCCTATAAGCCTATACACACCAAACGTCAATGAGACAATGACCCTAATGGATTAAAACATAAACCCTACACTGTTCACGTATAAAAGACTTACACTATTTCTATTTGAGAAGTATAGTCAATAATTACTATGATTTGGAATAAAACTATGCATGAAGAGGTTTCATGTTTGAATAATTGAACGTGATGATTTAAACATCAAATCAAACGTGACTTTGATTCGTTTCTGGTTTCTTCAAAATTATTTAGTGAACCTGTCTAAACCGGAATCATTCGGTTATTATCTAGCGTTTAAGTACAATTAAATTAGACCTCATGTCACCAATTCATTATGTTCCTCAGTGGTTCGAATCGGTACTTATGTCGGCTCTTCCTTGAGGTAATGTAAATTACCTTTCTTTTTTGCTTTTGATTAATTTTCAAAAGTATTTCAAGATATTTTTCTTAGATTTATGTGATTTTAAGAGAACGTGGATTTGTGAGATTCTAACAGACTTTTAGACATGTTCGAATTTAAGTGAATTAATCCTAACTCGTGTTCAATTCTAAGTTAGTTCATGTATTTATGGCTCTAAACCATAATTATTGTTTAATGGGATTTTATTGAAAAGACTTCTCAAGTGTTCTTTTGCAAACGCCTAACTCATATTATTTGATGATGATAATTAATGTATTCTAAAAAACTGAAACCAAATAACAAAAACACATAAGGTAGATGAAAGTGACCAGAGAGACAAGTTTTACAAAAGCTAAGAATTCTTTTGCCAATAGAAATTTTGAGTTTATTCTTCTAGCTTCTTTGACAGCAATTCCGAGAGACCATTGGTTAATGCAGAGGATGTCACAAAGGAAGCTTTCAGTAAATTGATAGCTTGTATTTAGAGAGACATTGAGTGAGCCCTATCTTGTAGTAACTTATGGGACAAGAAAGGACTTAATATTAATTATGCATACCTCTGTTCTACCGATAGTTATCTCTTTGATGTTGACTTCATCGAAACTAATCTTCAGTTCTTTTA